CCAGTATTCTTGAGTGTGACACGAGGTTTGCTCGTCTAGATCACGTGGAAGTGCTCTAGGCTCTCGAGGTGGTTTATAACTAGGCGTCAAGCAGGGACTTAAAGTAATGACAATAATGCAATTCGTAACTAATAGTAGGGTATACTAAATGATTGATCTTGAGCACGAAGCTCTATACAAAGGAAATCCATCTTGATTATATAGTCCTTCATGCTTCCATGATTACTAGTGATCCTTCATGATCATTAGTGATCATCTATATCGTGATCCTTAGTGATCCTTAATGATCACCAGTGATCACCTATACCGTGATCCTTAGTGATCCTTAATGATCATCAGTGATCACCTATACCGTGATCCTTAGTGATCCTTAATGATCACTATTGATCATTTGTGATCACGTGTCTTGGTAGTTGTGTAGCCCGTCGTAACAGTTTGCCGTCTAGATCACGTGGAAGTGCTCTAGGCTCTCGAGGTGGTTTATAACTAGGCGTCAAGCAGGGACTTAAAGTAATGACAATGATGATATGCAATTCGTAACTAATAGTAGAGTGTACTAAATGATTGATCTTGAGCACGAAGCTTTATACAAAAGGAATCCATCTTAATTATATAAATCTTCGTATTCCAACATTGGAGCGATGGAGCTGGGGAGCGAGATTCGAATCTTGCTCCTTCGTGTAACGATACTATACTGGAGGCAGCGGCTGCCTAAGGTTTCGTCTGGTTGGTAGTTGTGGGTTAAGGCTTTATCACTGGTCTTCACTTGGAAGTGAAGTCGTTATTAGATCAAGTAGAATGTAAATAAACTAATTGATAACTAAGTTAAGTACAAAACTCCTTAACTATAAGACTAAATGAATGTTTATATACCCTATATCATCTTTTGAGGACCCTATGGACCCTTCGGTCCTCAAGGTCCTCGAGGTCACGTGAATTAATGAATCGTGACACTTCGCTCGGCTCGCTCCCCTCACAAGACTATTCATGTGATCCTATAACACGTGATAATAGTTTATAATGTTACAACGTAACACTAGGCCTCTCGAGGTGGTTTATAACTAGATGTTAAACAGGGACTTAAAGTAATGACAATAATGCAATTTGTAATTAATAGTAGAGTATACTAAATGATTGATTTTGAACATAAAGCTTTATACAAAGGAAATCTATCTTGATTATATAGACCTTTATGTGTTACGCCGGGTAACAAGAAGACGCTCACGTGTTACCAATATCATGTGACTGACTCAGTGAGGATCAGCAAGCTCAGTACTGAGCCATACTGATCCTACTGATCAGCTAGAACACGAAGGTCTATATAATCAAGATGGATTTCCTTTGTATAGAGCTTCGTGCTCAAGATCAATCATTTAGTATACCCTACTATTAGTTACGAATTGCATTATTGTCATTACTTTAAGTCCCTGCTTAACGTTTAGTTATAAACCACCTCGAGAGCCTAGAGCACTTCCACGTGATCTAGACGGCAAACCTCGTAACATTTTGTTAAAAGGAATGACCTTACACAGGGAATAGTTGGGAAGCTGATAGGGCAGAACTGAGGTAATACTGGTCTAGTATTTTAATCACTCTTCTAAGTTCTACGGAAGTGCGAAGCTCTCTGTCACAATTCATTAATTTATGTGACCTCGAGGACCTTGAGGACCGAAGGGTCCATAGGGTCCTTGAGGACCTTTTGGACCTTAGGGTCCTAAGGATCCTCAAAAGATGATATAGGGTATATAAATATTCATTTAATCTTGTAGTTAAGGAGCTTTATACTTAATTTAATTATCAATTAGTTTATTTACATTCTACTTGATCTAGTAACAACTTCACTTCCAAGTAAAGACCAGTGATAAAGCCTTAACCCACAACTACCAACCAGACGAAACCTTAGGCAGCCGCTGCCTCCAGTATAGTATCGTTACACTCTCCTACAGAGAGCTTCTCAATCTAGTCCTAATAGGGCTAGTGCCCTGTGCACGTGCTACGCAGGAATCATTCACTTTAACTATTTTTTTATTTTTTTATTATTTTTTTAAATAGAACTTTTTAAAAATTAAATATAATCATATAAAACCATGAAATATAATTTTGATTTGATTAAAGTGATAAGAATTGAGGGAGAAAATAACTTACTTTATACAGAAGCTATTCTTCTCTTCCAAATGTGGCCTAGCGCTGTACCATGTAAGATTAATCTATTTCTTGTCAACAAAAGATTGAGAATACATATCACATGTACGTGGAGAACACTTGGATTTATTCGAATATCCAGTCATATATTCACACTAAATCATCGTTCATTTATTCCCTTCATAATTCCAAACCCTACCCCTTACAATTTATCAGAATCTCCAGAAGTTGAGATATATCAAACAGAAGCCTCGGCAGCTTTGATCAATTTCTCGGCTAACCATTCCGGCTGGCTAATAAAAGGACTGTGACCGGAGTTTGTACGTTCGATTGTATCAAAACCTAAGTGGGTTTGTGATTAGTCTTCTAAAAATTATGGGATTGAACATGAAATGGAGAGAGAACGAAGGTCATATCTTCTTTCATGATAATAGGGACACATAGTGCTCATTACATGAAAAACGACCCAAACTCGCTCAAAGAAGAGACACAAAAAAAGCAAAAACACTTACTTTCTGCAGCAATCTCCTGTGCTTTTTTTATTATTCCTAACTGTGCCTCCAAGACAAGCGCTCTATCGTCCTCACAAACCACATACGTACTAGGAATAAATCTCCAGGGCGCCGCTGTTATGGGCGAATCAAAAACCAAACTATGTTCTTTCAACATATCCACATATTTCTTGGCTTCCTTTTTGTCAATATCGTTATAGAAAATTTCATATGGATCTGAACAAGTTACCGATTTTAAATCGGGAGTGAAGGACCACCACGGAGGAGGTTCGTTGAGGAAACTTTTGAGAGAGGTGGATTCGGGGAGACAGAATGATGCGATGTAGATTAGGCGGCGGATGAGGCCGGGTGGGGATGAGGGAGTAGTAGAGGTGGGGAGGGTTTTGATATAATTGGCTAAAGCTTCGGAACCCACGGTTCCGCCGTAGGAGTGGTAGACCATGATTACAGGGGTGGAGGTGGAGAGGAGGGAGTCGACTTTATTTCTGAGATGGTGTTAGACTTGGGTGGAAAGTTAGGGAGGAAAGTGAAAGAGGGAAAGTAAGATGGGGAAATGAAGGGATATTAACCGGATTACTTCCACATCTGGCTGAAAGTCATCGAGTGGAGGAGATGCACCCACGGATTTGAGGTTGATGCCATGAACCTTATAGCCCTTTGCTTCGAGGATATCTGCAGTGGGTTTGAACTTGATTGAGGAACTTGTCAGAACGGAACGTTAAATAAGCTTAGGATGAGTGTATGAGCTTCTGAGGATTAGAAAAGCTTAAAGGAAGCAATAGCAGTTACACTCCTGAGTCCCAAATACACATATTAGACGAAGTCAAAGTAGGAGACCTTACACATTCCGGACCATGCCATGCTCCCGGCACCAAAACAAACTCGGGCTTTTTCACAATACTTCCCATATTGACATGAAGATGAAGATTAGTATGAAGATAAGGATGAGGATGAAGATAGGGATGAATATGAATATGAAGAAACAATACTTAAGCAGAGATGAAGTCACAGTTTATAAGCATGAGTAAAACGGATAACTCAGCGGCGCGACAAGCTTACAAACCCCATTTCTCCCGTAGGTTATATATTGAATGTGGAGGCACGGAAAGGTCGAATGATCTCATTTTTGCTCCAATAAAGCTTGGATTTATTCTTCTAACAGTTGTTCCACGTAAACGGGTCCAATTATTTTACTTTGGTGCCAGGATAGATACAAGGAATTTTGAAATCCGGTTTTCGAATTGCAATTCAAAATCTTCGAGTCTTTTTGTTCTCTTGGAATTTTTTCATGGGTTGCGGCGGAGTATGTATGGATCTGAATGGGACCAATGGGTAGACGAATATGGTTGCTTGATTTGAAGCTATTTCCAGTTGAAGAAAGACGTAATAAAGATTACCTATCTACCTCGAAGTGAATTCCAAAGGATATATTAGACTTCTCTAGTTGTTAGTCGATTTGATATATATAATCATTTAAGTTCGATCCCTAACGCTCGCCTCCTGGTGGAGTGAGTGGGTTGATATATTCATATCTATTTATATTCATGATAGGTTTTCTTTAATATATAATAAACTATATTAAATATCTCTTGAATATTAAAAACTCTCTTTATAATCTGTTTATAAACTTGATTTTTTTAATATGATATAAAGTTGTATTTTGAAGAAATTTAAAAGATGTTGAAATTTTTTTTTTTTTGAAAACTTATTTATAAGATTACTTTATCATTTTAATAATAATAATATGTATAAATATATTAAATTATTTCAAAATCTACTTTTATATTAAAAGTGATTAAAATATATTTATTTTATTTGGTATTTTTATAAAACCAATATAAACTATAAGAGATTTCTTTTTATATTTTAAATATTTATAAAAAATATTTCTTTAGAAAACAATATTAAATTTATAATTTAATAAATCTCTAATATATAAAAAGTAATAAAATAATCGAATTTTAATATAAGTTAACATTCAGATAAGATAAGTATACATTAGTGTATATAACATCTTACAAAAGAGCTATTAATCTATTTAATTACTATTAGGAAAACATCATACACCGAAGGACCAACTACTCAAGTACTCTGTATTAGAATCAGATACTGATTGACCACAGATTAAATCTTCAAATGAACCTGGCTCTACATTCATCTAGTTATGAATAGATAGATCTAGAAAAACAACCATCTACCGAAGAATCAAGCGCACAGCCAAAGTACCGCACACAGCTCCCGAAGAATCAACCCGCACAGTCAAAATGCCGCATACAGCTCCCGAAGCCCCTCAAAAAAAGTAGGTTAATTTGTCTTTTATACTTTGTAGCTGCACGAGCAGGTGACAGGTGTGCTATAAAGTATAATTATATGGGGAAATATTCATGGAGTACGTAAGATCTTACCGATGTATAGTAGAACCCCGCTATACCGGACATTTTTACAATACTAATCATTTTTTTATATGAATATAGCGGAAATTTCGGTATTTTGTATATACCGAACAAAAATCTTATAATTCTCATGTATGTAAAGTATTATTTACTAGTGTAATACTTTTTAAAAATTAAAAATTAATTTTTTTAATATTTCTATGCTACGACAAGTAACAATTAGGTCACGGAATTAGTAATAACACATAACGCGAGGATTCGAAGAGCTCGAAGGCTTGGCCTCTCGAACCCTTCGATCGAGGAAAGCGAAAGAATCAAAGCTCGATCCCCTTGCTCTTTTCGAATTATGAAATATGAAGGTCTATATAATCAAGATGGATTTCCTTTATATAGAGCTTTGTGTTTAAGATCAATTATTTAGTATACTCTACTATTAATTACGAATTGCATTATTGTTATTACTTAAGTCCCTGCTTGACGCTTAGTTATAAACCACCTCGAGAGCCTAGAGCACTTCCACGTGATCTAGACGGCAAACCTCGTAACATCCTATCTTTGAAATTTTGTAAATTGATCATATGATAAGTTTGTAATGATGATAGGGTTAAATTTCGAGGCTAATTTACCATATAAACTTATTTATATTTTAATATCTGAACCTCTTTACCGGAAGCCTGTTTATACCCGTGGAAATAGAGTTGATTTTCTATATTCGGTATAATGGGGTTCTCGTGTAGCTTGACTAATTACGTAGATAGATTATGTACTCCATTGTCCGATGTCGCATACGAAATTGTTAGCACAAGATATTTCAGGATTCACTAACCACAACGTAGGTAGATGATGGCGATATAATATTGCTTTCTAGAGGTATCGTTATAACACAATAAACTTAAACGTGAGTAGGAAAACAAAAAGCATGATCTCATTAATAGTCCCATAATAATCGTGATACATCCAATATATCCACAACGTTTATCCAACTCCTGAAGAACAATAACAAAACACAGCAATGAGCTTCCTCATCTCATTACGCTCGACCCGTAATGTAATCCTTATTCTCTATCGTCACACTCTTGGTCATATGATTGACCTTGTATACACCAACTAATCTACTTGCGAGTTCAAACATGTTGTTCCGCAGTGAGATAACAATGAATTGTGCGTTTTTGGTCCGTTCCTTGATGTAGGATGCTACGATAGAAACCTGGATAAGTTAGCATAGTATATCGACAAGACGGAGTATCCTACTTACATTTCTAAAATCAAGAGCCGCATCGATCTCGTCCATGACATACAAGGGTGTTGGTTTGTAGTGGTGCAAAGCAAAAACAAGTGCTAAACTGCTTAATGTTTTTTCACCACCGCTCAAGTTTGAGATGTTCTTCCAAGACTTCTTCGGTGGCATCACACTGAATAGGATTCCTTCAGAGAATGGATCTAGCGAGTCCACCAGTTCCAATTCGGCGTTTCCTCCCATTGTGATCATTTGGTACATTTCTTTCAGTCGAAGAGAAATCGTACTGAAGCCTTCCATGAACCCTTCAAGACGTAGACGTCGTAAATCATCACAGCGTTTCTTTGCCATGTCTCTTTGAGTTACGGCACTTTGTAAGTCTTGATTCCTTGCAGCGTGTTCTTCAACTCTTCGACGATATTCAGCAAGAACACCTAGCTCGACATTGACATTCTGAGTTTTCTCTTCTAGAATTGCAATCTCTCCTTTCAATGCCTCTTTGCTCATATCTGCGAGTTCATCTCTGGTAAAAGTGGGAAGTTCTTCCTGTTCAACTCCTTCACCCAGGTCGCCAATATTTTGCAAAGTAAGTTTGCCCAACTTTTCCTGCCAATATCTTAGTCGCTTTTGGTTTTCGGCTAATACTTTATGGTTCTCTTCAAGCTTGTTGCGCATCTCTATCTCAATTGCACGGATGTCATTGAGCTCGGAAGTCTTCTCATCAAGATCGGCTTTCAAAGCATTAAGCTCCTTCTTCTTTTCTTTCAAGGTCTCTTGGGCTTCGTCGACTTTGGCTTGCGATCCTTCAGAATTTGATCCTTGCTTTTGAATCTCCTCTTCTAGTGCTTCTAGCTCGGCAATGGAAGCCTGTATTTCCTTGGTAGCCTTGGCATGATCTTTTTCGTGCTTAACGACTTGTTTCTCAGCTTTGGTTTTTGTCACTTCCGCTGTTGACATGGCCTGGCTGAGGGTATCAATCTCTTCCTTCAAGGAGTCCACCATGGCACGCTGAGCACGAAGCTTCTCGCCACCAACCTGCATGATCTTATCCTGAAGACCTTTGATCTCTTCCTCAACGCTCGCTGTTTCAGCATGAAGCTTCTCGATTTCTTTTTGAAGTTTCGCGATGTCTTTATTTAGTGCAGACACTCGACTGTCGTCCGTTTGTGAGGGTTGGTGCTCCTTGCTCAATTCCTTGATGCGTCTTTGTGCGTCTGCCAAGTTTCGCTCGGAACTCTCTACCTCCAGAACGAGCTTTTGCATTTTAGTGTCAAGATGTGGTATTTGATGGTTTATATCTCTAAGCCTCGTCTCTAGGTCTCTTTGGCGGCCTTGAAACTTCTGGAAAGTCTGTTCAAGCTCATCTCTGTTTACTTCCAACTTAGAGACTTGCTCTTTAGAGACCTCGGCCACGAGTTTCGAGGACATCAGTCCCTTCTTGACAGTATTTCCACCACCAGACATCGTACCTGACTTATCAATCAATTGGCCATCCAAAGTCACGACACGCCATCGTTTCGCCCCATAAGCGATGCGGTTAGCCTGTGCTAAATCTTTCGCTACAAGAGTATTTTGTAATGAATGAAAAAATGCTGGTCTAAACTTGTCATCTTTTGGTTTGATAAGATCAAAGAGGCGAGGGACGTTTTCGGGTGTTTGGATAGGCGATAAGTCACGGTTTCCTAATTTATCTAAACACATGAAATTACCTCGTCCAAGATTTGTTTTTCGAAGATACTCGATACACTGCTGACCAGCCTCGACTGTATCTGTGACAAAGTTATCCAGGGCACCACATGCGGTAGAAATTGCGATATCAAATTGCTGGTCAATTGTGCCTAGATTTCCAAGCCGGCCATGGAAACCATCAATCCGACCAGACTCTTTAAGTCTCATTAGTCCCGTAAGAACGTTCCCTTGAGTTTGAGTGTTCGAAAGACTAGCACGGGCTTCATCGGCTTTTTGGCGAGCACCTGATAGTTTAGAACGGAATTCTGGCTCTTTCTGGGACAGCTGTGTGAGCTCGGCTTGTAGTCGAGCACCATCTTTTTCCAGCTTCGCTCTTTGGCCCTTGCATTGCTCAAGTTCTTCGAGTTTAGCCTGCCTACTTTCTTCTATAGTCTGCACCTTTGATTGGATCTCCCGGAGTGCCACAGCACCGGCATTTGCCTTCTCATGTAGGATCGCGAGCTCACTTTCTGCTACAGCAATCGCAGATTGTTTTTGATTAATCTTCTCGTTCCAGGGCTCCAGTGACTTCTGCTTGGCCGCAATTTGATCGGAAAATTTTTGCGTTTTCCCCTTAAGACTATCCCTGATATTAGCGAGCTCTGACTCTTCTTCGGCCATCCTCTGTTCAGTTGCAGTGATCTCAGCGGCAGATTCCTGAATTTCTTCTGCAAACTTCTCGATTGTAGCCCGAGATTCGGAAATAGCTGAATCGGATGTATTGATAGTCTTTTCCAGCTTCTTCTGTTTGCTTGTCAAGAATTTCCTTTTCTCTTCAAGCTTCACTCGCTCTTGATCGAGGTTTGCCATCTCCTTAAGAATTGCTTGCGTATAATTTTCCACCGACTCATACTCCTTCTGACCCTTCTTGTACTCTTTCTCAAGCTGCTTGATACCTGCTTCGTTGCCTTGATGTTTTTCCATCTCAGCGTCTAGCTGTGCCTGCATCTGGCCGATAGCCTCTTCTGTAACCGCTAGATTATCGCCACACTCATTGATATAAACTTGATATAGTGCTGATTGTTTCATAGTCAATTCATTTTCATCCCTGATGTAAGCAAGTGCTTTGTCTTTCTTATCTTCCAGTGCATTTTTCTCTTTTTCGACATGCTGGACCCGCCCACTCTTTTCAACACATACTTCATTCAACGTTTCCACTTCGGCAGCGGATTCTTCAATAGGGGTTTTATATTTGGATGTACCAATGATATCCTCCAGGTATTCCAATAGCCCGTCATCGTGCTCATTTGCAGCTTTTGGCTTCATTTGAGCAATTGACTCGACTTCACCTTGGAGGATCAAAAATCTTTTATGATCTAGATCGACGCCTCTGTCACGAAGAAGTGTCGTGACAATAGTGAAATTTGACTCTTTTCCGTTTATATAATATTTACTGGCATTGTTTTTGAAAGCCCTGCGGGATATCACTAAATCAGAATTGGGAATGATTTGATGAGTACCATCAGGCTGATCCATCACTTCTTGGAAATGTACGGCAACCTCACAATGGTCCAAATCCGGGAAGGCTGCAGAGTTGTGAATTAATGCGGAAATCTTGCCTTGTCGCATTTTACTAGCTCGGAAGCCAAATACAAAAAGAAGAGAATCAATGACGTTGGATTTCCCGGATCCGTTGGGGCCAACGACAGAAGAAAAAGAAGAATGGAAAGGGCCAACTTCTTGACGACCGGCGTAACTCTTGAAATTCGTAAGAATCAAATAAGTGATGACTATTCGAGCCTTTGGACCGGTATCCTCAACCACTGGAGCTGCCAAAGTCCTTGACTTAAGCACAATATCCATGGGCTTTTCCATCATTGTATCCATTGCTCGTATAGGTTTGACATCTGACGCTTGACCCTCCGAAGTCCTAGGCCTTTCTACGACATCGGTCAAAACTGTGCTATTGTGCATTTCAGATGGCTCAGGAGATTGTGACGTAGTCGGTGTTGGTAGAAGTGGGATTGATTCGGGTGCAATTGAGCTGCGTGCACTTCTGGTGGGCAGCACACTCTTCCTCTTCCGCGGGGCTGCCTTTTTCGTAGGTGACTCCGGTGCTGGAGTTGCCGTCTGATTAGGATCGAACACTTCTGAGGGCTCCATGTTTTCTGCTCCCATGCTCTTTTTTGCTCGGCCGCCTGTGCGAGGGGTAGCTGCAATTGAGTTCGTTGTCTTCCTTCTCGATTGCGGTGCTTTTCGTGGACTACGCTTCGGCGCAGGTGTAAACTCCTCCTCACCATCTTCCTCAACTTTGACTTCCATATTCTCCCCTTCGTCTGACGATTCCACTACCACTTTCCGGCGAGAAGCCACACGTCTCGAAGACCGCACTGGTGATTCCGACATTATGAGGTCCAGTAAATGTGTTGCTTTTTTTTACTCGCGGGGTAAAAATGGTTACTGCTGTCAATAAAGTACCTATGGTCTCAGAATCAGATATGCACAGTGAATAGTATAGCATAAAAGAGCCTAAAATACCTGTTAGCGACGCGCCTTATATTCAATCAATCATTCGGGCGTAAAATGTTTTGTTGAGTTTCGTTGTTTTTATTGTTTGCATATTGCTGATCACCATTGTTTACTTTCAAAACATTGAAATGACGCTAAGATAAGGTTCTTATCTACTATCAACATCGTCGCATCTTTCAAAATAAATCCCCTAAAGGTAAACATTGAAAGTTACGGGAGTACAACGCAGCAATACCAAATGTTTACCTTTCAGAACTTTGATGAAGTCTTTGACTTTGATCCAGATTGTTCCTATGATGAATATGCTGTGCGGGAAATTGAGAACAATCGTAAGAAGCTTGAAGGGCTGTTCGTGGATACTTTACTGAAGAATTTTGAAATTCGTCGACGTGAGCTACTAAAGTTATTCACATAGTGTATCCCTTACTAACTGTCTGCAAGCTGCTAAGTATTATCCTCCGAAAACAAATAATGAACTCAGAAATCTACACAAAGTCATCATCGACTCAGCAGGCGAGGCCCATCACAAATTATCAGCTCTATATTATATATTGCTCGACTTCGACGCTCCAACCGGACGAAGAGATTACTCCACAACATTCGAACAAAAGTCGTTCTTACCTGAGAGTTACAAAATTTATATGAAGGGTCTCTGGCATTTGGATCGTCTCGATTTTGAGGTTCGTGATTCTATGTGTTGGATACAAAAATCCGTGAATACACAGCATGGACTGATCATTTTTAGTTGGCACTTCAATATCTGGCCTATCCATCCTTGATACCGAGTTTTGCGGATGAAATATTAGAGGCCCTGGTATTACATTCCTCGGAAGATCTAGCTATCCCGTTGGCATACTATCATACTGTGCAGCCAGCCTTGACCTCATCCAAAGCAACAGAGAGTTTGTTTTCTGCCATCGCAAGAATCAGTGTCACAGAAGCCTTCTACTTCTCACGAGGACAGTCGCAATATATGCAAAGACACATGTTCGAGTTACTCATTGCAGTTGTTCTCAAGAACTCTCCTCCAGAAACCATTGCGGATCGCAGTATCGAGCTGATAAATCTGCCATTCTCACCAGAAGAAGAATCTTGGTTCGAGGACTACTTGCTTCGCGGAGAAGGAAGAGCAATAAGAAAGGGCCGGGATACAATCATGATGCGACGAATTGGTACTGGAAAATTCTCGGAGACCTTATCACTGAAAGGCATCGGCGGCAGATCAATTGGAGGGTTGGATTGGGAGCGTTTGTCTGCAGCTGTGAGAGAAGGACTTGGGCCAAGAATCGATGTATAAAAGAGGATTCGGAGCCTGTCCTGTACATCTAAATTTCAAAGATACCAACATAGCGTTATGGAGTTATTTGGGGAGTTACGATAGTCCTGGATTTCGAATGCCAATTTAATTTTTTTATATTCTCGTGTAGCTTGTGATAATTAATTTTAATGTTAACCGTGCCGACGCGTTTACGTACCAGACCGCGTTCCGACCAACATCTTCAAAAATTCTTTGTAAAAAACCAACACATCTTTATACACTCTTTAATGTGTATGAATTCTTTCAACGTGCGCGACCTTGAATGAATACCTTATAAGTGTAGCCTTTTAGGCTCGTGCCCATCCAAGGACTCATTCCTAACATATTGTCGTCGAAGACGTATAAACAATGGCAGTGTGTAAATTTTGGCAGCAAGGAAATTGCAGAAACGGAGGTAATTCTCTCCCAGGTTTAGAATGAGGATAAAAACTTGCTAACTTTTGAAAGCTGGTTGCAGATTCGAACACTCCGACCAGAATGCCAATTACAATAAGAACGGCTTCAACAATCGATATGCTCCTCTTCAGAATCAAACTTCCAACCAATCCAATTCTCGGAACTATAATACACAACGAGGAGGTGAGTTTACCCGCGTACATGATTGTACACTGTGGCTTACTACGTTTGAAGGAAATGAAGCGCATGTACCTTTTAGTCTCGATAAAGCAAGTATAAAGCAAGACCTCTCGACCGACAGACCGCAATGGATTCTTTCGGCGTACGGACCTGGGCGTCATGCGCCAGAGCAGTTGTTCGGTGGACCAGCGCGAGAACAAAGTTTTGAGGAAATGCGGCTTATCCACTACATTGCGGCAGCTTCTGGTAATGTTCAGCCTGTTGTAGGTGATAGATCCAGGGGTTGTGAACTGAAGCTAATATTATCTAGATACAAGATGCAGAGAGGTTATGGCAAGAAGCAGAGCAACAAATACAAAATGCACTGAATGACGTGGATGGCGCCATAAATTATATTATCGCCGCCGATAATAAACATCCTAATAGAAATGATTATTGTCAGCAGAACACCTCCACAGATCAAACGCCTTGGGTTCAGCGCAACGATCAGCCTGCTGGAAATAGTGCTTTTGGTGCACCCAGTCAAACATTGACATCAACATTTGGGCAACCGTCTACTCAAAGCAGTTCTGCATTTGCACAACCTATTCAGAATGTTACAGCCTTTGGACAGCCTTCAAATCAAAACTCGAGTGCATTTGGTGGAACTGCTCAAGGCTTCGGAGCTGTGCAGCAAGGTGGAGCATCGGGTGGTTTTGGTCAGCCATCAGCTTTGGGCCAAAAGCCCAGTGTTTTTGGTAGTGCTTTTGGGCAGCCCTCACAATTAGAGCAAGGAGGAGGGGCTTTTGGAAACCCATCAGCCACGGGGCCGAAAGCAAATCCATTTGGTGCACCCTCAAACAGCGGTATGAATTGTGAACAGTCAGGTTTCTCTAACTTTGGTGGTACTAGCAATGCGTTCGGTCAACCCAATCCAAACCCCTTAGGTAATGCTTTTAGTTCCGATACTCTCCGTCCCGGAACTCAGCAATCACAGATCAATCCAATGTCACAGGACAACAACCCATTAGCACCTGTTAACTCTTTCGGCCAACCTGCTCTATCAAACCCATTTGGCGCTAATAGCGGAAATAATCAAGCATTCGGTGCTCCGCCGGCGTCGACAAATCCTTTTGGAGCTCCAAGTCCGCAGCCAACAAATGTCATGCAAAATCAATTTACAAATCCTGGATCACAGACACAGCAGTTTGGAAACAATCAAAACTTCGAAAATTTGAACATGATCGCTGGCGTTCCCTCTGCGCGGAGGGGCTCCAATATGAACACCTTTAGCCCGAATTTTCGACCACCACCAAATGCCAATATAGTACAGCATCCTCCACCCGAGAGCTATATTAGAACGGGCCAGGGTGGAAGATTGGAGTTTTTCAACGGACGACCAGTCATGTATAAGGATGGAGAACCAGGGACTAACATTAACGGCAAGTGGCACAAGATATGGTGTCCAAAAGGGTATACAGGGCCAAACAAAACTACGGAAATTGAGAACGCGGTTTTTGATGAACAAACAACTGCTGCCTACTTAGGGGCCAGGCAAACTGGAACGTTCCCAGGAGGTGTTATGCCTTTGATACCACCCAAAAGGGAATGGTGCTTGTTTAACTTTTGATTCACAAAATTAGATATAAGCGGGTTATGCATTGGGACGGCGTTGTGGGCTTTTTAATGTATGGTTTCAGATAATGAGTATATATGACCTGGGAAATTAATTGTGGGAAGCGTTGGAGCACTGATCACAAGTACATTACTAGGCCTGGTTAGCATCTTATCGAAGGAGCAAGTGGAGACGAGGTTAAAATATGTTTCTCTAGCGGTGGTCGAGGTTACTACTTCCAAAACAACGTGCATGGAACTTACTTTGCCCTGATTCGAGTTCATTACACTTTACATAGTTCTCCATTTCATCTCTTGGATGGCGAGACACGATATTTAATTGAAAAGTATATTGTATCTTGTGCTTTCCGGCTTTTCGAAAAACTGATATAACAGAATCCACGTCCCAATCAAGTTTTTAATGACTTCAATGATTGACAACTTTGGAGGTTCCTCTGATGCCATCCTCATCCCACTTGACGGTGTCAGATCTATTCACGTGATGACGAAAATGAGTACCTGATACGAACTTCTCACCGATGGATGAAGTAAGTAGTCGCGCACACGAAACAAACTCCTTGCACGTTCCCCTGTACCTATTCAGCGTGAGGGAGCATCTGGTTGTTAAATTCGAATCGGGGCATCAAAGAATATTATGATGCCTCTTAGGTGGGTATATTCGTTTGAAGTGCGATTTATTTACCCATCGCATGTGCTTGCTTCCCTTTTATCCCGCTTTCGATTTCATACCATGAGCGGAGTACTGTAGCGACATCAAAGGGTTGCGAATTTCTACCTCAACGGTCTTCGAGAGGTTGAATAAATCTGATAATTGTGGTACGATGGGCAATGCTACCATTACAGACGGCAGCTAACGTGCCACTAGACTTCATTAAAGACAATACGAAGTCGTCATTGTCGAAGAAGGGCCTTCTCAAAAGTGTCGATGTCATTGTTTATTTCAGGTAGACTGTCTAATTCTTGGAGAGCTTTATCTGTCTAATGTTAGCTGAAAAGGGGAATTAAATTTGCTGCTGAAATAGTACTTACCACTCACGTATGTTGAAGACAGAATATTCAATATATCAATTCACACTGTCATACTCTTGTGTTTCTGATAAGGCGAAAAGTGATAAGAGTCAAAATGGAGCTCCTTCTGTGTGGTTGTTAGTGCATCCACTCTAGTAGTAATCAAGTCAATTTTTCCTGGCCTAGAATTAGATTTAATTCTTGTTGGCTTTAAACTCAGTGTTCAAAGGTTCTAAAATCGTTTTAACGAATTGAGTTTTTCAGACAAATTCATATATCGATAAATTACATTCGTCTCTGGTTAACGTTGTTCATTCACTAGACCTACAAAATAGTTACCTTTGAAGGAAAGAGACGTCTCATCCATATCACAAGAGAGACCATCTCAGTTTCTGACAATGTCGCAAGGACATTAACCCCTCCCTAATGAGTTGGTTACACAAATAGCTTCCGAACCATCACTCTCATCCACAGCATATCTTGCTCTTTGCAATAAAAATTCAAAAGTTTTACTTGGAGAAGCTAGAGAAGGGGGAGAAGAGTATTTTTAGCGCCTACGAAAGATAAAAAAGTCTGGTACTGATGCTCAGATTGTCACTAGCGAATTACATTCACCGACTATGAAAATAGAAGAGACACGCTCGGAACATGAAATACGCTCTTAGTTCTGGTTATTGTTTCTAAAGATGTCAAAGGGATAATTTTGTCGATGAATTGCCATACTCTTCGTTTTGCTCTATATGCCGACTTTCAGCAGTCGACAAAGTTTCTGCCTCTATACGACCGGTTAAGCCGAAAGAGCTGGCAAGTGTACAAATGCATGAGATGAGAATGTGTCGCGAGTGTTGGACGGACTACCTAGTGAATGTGGTTGAACATGGAGAGAGCGTAATGGCAGCGACGATCACCAGATTGCAAAATCTCAGCGCTGGTCTCGACACAGACGAGAAGTGGCGAGAATATATGAGCTTTATGTGATTTGGGTGTGATCAGAAACCCCAGATGCCTCGTCTTAGACATATTTCTCTTCAGCAATTTGAGGAAGAGACGGGAAATCAATCCTTCATTTCACCTTAGAGAATGAGCAGAAGCTATTTTCAGAAGAACATATATCACTTCCAAGCTCTGTGATTCTTTCAGACTCTCGGACTCCTGGTGTGGATCTGTTTACCCTGGAAGAGCTTGAACGTCTCAAAGGACCCATAGTTCGTCGCCCATGTATTACCTTCTATCGTGCCTTCCATTAATTCTCTATCTAACAATGACGGAAGCTTTATTGGTTGCGACCATTACTGGAAATGAGTGCGTCGGATGAGGTAGCTCTAGGCGGATTGAGCATAGTGAGGTGTAGTGTTACGAGGTTTGCCGTCTAGATCACGTGGAAGTGCTCTAGGCTCTCGAAGTAGGTTTATAACTAGGCGTCAAGCAGGGACTTAAAGTAATGACAATAATGATATGCAATTCGTAACTAATAGTAGAGTATACTAAATGATTGATCTTGAGCACGAAGCTCTATACAAAGGAAATCCATCTTGATTATATAGACCTTCATGCCTATGGCTAGTCAGGACCGCTGCGCGGTCCTGGACAGCCAGCGTTCCTGGACAGCCAGCGTTCCTCAGCGGTCCATAACGTGACTTTAATCACGTTACCTTGGTTTAGTCATGTGACGCGGCATAGAAGATAGCCGTTGTAACTGTCACACTCAAGAATACTGGGTAAAGTATCTTGTATTAGAAAATACTAAGCTAAGGAGAAAAGAAGAAGGAAAACAAGAGTAGAGAGTTTTCCTGTGATTAAATACAAACGGGGCATGCCACGTGACCCGGAGTGTGAGGCGTCACAGTAACATGTAGTATGTGTGTTATATCTGATATTTTCGACTATATTATTTTTATCAAAGCTGTTATCTTGGTGGGATACAAACCAAGTGTTACGCCGGGTAACAAGAAGACGCTCACGTGTTACCAATATCATGTGACTGACTCAGTGAGGATCAGCAAGCTCAGTACTGAGCCATACTGATCCTACTGATCAACTAGAACACGAAGGTCTATATAATCAAGATGGATTTCCTTTGTATAGAGCTTCGTGCTCAAGATCAATCATTTAGTATACTCTACTATTAGTTACGAATTGCATATCATTATTGTCATTACTTAAGTCCCTGCTTGACGCCTAGTTATAAACCACCTCGAGAGCCTGGAGCACTTCCACGTGATCTAGACGGCAAACCTCGTAACACCAAGTTTGATTAGTATTAATTTATAATCTTGACTATATATTATAGAAGATTTTTAAATATTAAATAAATAACCTAAAAATTATTTTATAAATAATAAATTTATATATATTATTAACAATTACAATTTTAATATTTTAAAGTTAATCTTTATTTAAAATATACAAGATAATATTTTTTAAAATATATAATTTTATTTATTTTTAATTCTTAAATAATAAAATTATTAATAATCATTACATATTTAAAACTTTGATAATTCCTCAAATAACTAAAAAAAAAGATAATATTTTAAATGTCATATCGTATATGTCAGTAATTAATTAGAAGACTTTATAATACCTTCTTATTTATAATCTCCTTTTTTTTTTCCCGTCCTCGCCACACAATACCATTGTCACGATTCACCATTAGGATTGATGGTGTTACGATGGTAGCAAACTGATTAATTAGGAGAGCTTAGGCCGTGTGCAAACACGATCAGATTTCATCGAATTAGTATGTGATCTTGGTCACCTGAAGATCGTATGCGCACGCACCATCAGAAATCGCGTGATAAGGAGTCTTGAGGAGCCAGAAAGCTCCTAGGGGCCCCCTTTATTGTTCAGTATATAGTCAGAGTAGTTTCATAGTTTAGGAGCTTCGTGCTCAACTTAGTTATCAATTAGTTTACCTACATTCTACTTGATCTAGTAACGACTTCACTTCCAAGTGAAGACTAGTGATAAAGCCTTAACCCACAACTACCAATCAGACGAAACCTCAGGCAGCCGCTGCCTCCGGTACAGTATCGTTACAACCATCTACGTAACGTATAAACTACGTCACCCCACCATTTTCAACCCCGCATTTCACTTTTTGTCATAGCTCAAGCTTACCTCATCTCTTTCATCGAAACAACATCATCTCAAACTATTTACAGAGGTATTATTACTTCAAAACATCCAGAGCGCGAGATTATTGAACAGATATAACTTCAGGTATTGATCGCATCTTACTTATGCTCATACACTATAAAACAACGAAAAGTTATTTGGAAAAGGAAACTAGAAATCGAATGAGCCGCATATATACATAGTTCCCCTCACCTCATCCCGAACTACTACTAAGTATCATTTGATATACTCACTAGGTACTCATATCAGCAAAAGAAAATCATTAAAACCCAGCGCATGAGAATTCTCCAACTCATAATTCATTCTCTAATATTCCTCATACCAATCCTCATATTCCACCAAACCGATCCAACAAACGCAATACCCCAAGTCTCCACAAACATCACATTGTCACCTATCAACCTACTCCTCACATATTTACCGTGCTTTGCGCATACAAATGATACGGAAGCGAGACGAGAAATAACACAGCATAATAAAATGGCGTGGACATGTTCAGGTCGAAGTAACGGGGAGTTAATATCTAAGATGTGGAATGCGCGATTGGTTCTTAGTGAGAGGGTTAGGGATGCTATGATTTCCGTATGAAATCTTCCCTTACTTATAGCCATTGTTCATTTATTAACTTCCTCTCCCAATTTATCTTCAGATATAGTGCTAATAAACAAACCAGGTAGATCGCGCTCACTTTACCCCCTCCCAACATCTAGCCTACCAAGATTCTCCCCAGTCAATCGGTTACTCAGCTACCATTTCCGCACCCCATATGCATGCTTCCGCTCTTGAAAATCTCCTCCCCTTTCTAGGTGAAGGAAAACGAGTTTTGGATGTGGGAAGCGGAAGTGGATATTTAACTGCTGTTCTGGCAGAACTTGTATTTCCCTCCTCAACATCTTCCTCTACATCTCCATCTACATCTTCATCTTCTGAAACCTCTTCGAGTGAGAATCCCGGAGAAGTCAAAAAGAAAAGCGGAAAAGTGGTAGGTTTGGAACATATCAGGGCATTAAGAGATCTAGGAGAAACCAACATGATGAAGAGTGAAAAAGGGAAAAAATGGTTACAGGAGAAGAAAGTGGAATTTGTCCTTGGAGATGGGAGGCAGGGATGGATAGATCCGGATGGGGAGGAAGGATGGGATGCTATACATGTAGGAGCAGCAGCGATGGAAATCCACGAGGCGTTGATTCAGCAGTTGAGATGTCCGGGTCGGTAAGTTTGATGATTTTTATGTTTATGTTTATCTTATCTCTCTCGAATCTCTATATTCTATCCTATCTTATTTCCTAATTAATGAATCAAACCAAACCAAGCTAATCAAATAAAACCTCTTCTCCAACAAAATAGTATGTTCATCCCAGTAGAAGATTCCAAAGGACTAGGTCAATATATTTGGCGAGTAGATAAAGATCAAGAGGGAAATGTATCAAAGGAGAAATTGTATGGTGTGAGATATGTTCCTTTGACTGATGCGCCGAGGACAATTTCTGACCTTTAATCTTTGATATTCGTGGATTGTTTGGTATGGTATGGCATTGTATGGTACAAGAGTAGGGTGGTGGGATATTTGGGTGGATATTACCTGTCGAAGGAGGATAATTAGGAGGAATATTTGGGAGATGTGATGGTGATGGTGATGGTGATAGTAATGCGGGAATTTCGAGTTCGAATTTGACATGGATGAATGGATGAATGAATGAATAAATACCCGTTTGGAATATAATAATTAATAGCGAAGGTAATGATGAGTGTGATTAATGTGATGAAAACTTTCGTATCCCTAGTTTGGAAATATTGATGAATAGTGGATGGATACTGAATATGTAGGTGATAATTATTAGTGTTAATTGGGCATCAAGATGTGTTTCGAGTATTTTATTTTATAGATATAGATATATCTTTATCTATATCTAGATTTTATCTTATCTTTATTTTTAAAATTTATAAGTATATTAGATGATTAAATAGGAGGTTACATTATATTATATTATATTATAATTAGATATAATACTTAAATATATCACATCACATTCTACCACATCACAATACATCCTAATAATCACATCACAACATACCAATACAACGATCCTAAGATCGTAACTCTACAGATGAAAAACAAAAACTCCATACACTCTACTCCTATTATCACAATGTGATATAATGATATAAACTAATCCGACGGGTATATATTATCAGACCCTTCCCCCCACTCCCAATTTCGCCGTATAACATATACCATAAAGCAGATACCATATCCATATCCGTATCCGTATGTGTATGTGTATGTATGATATCCCTATGTATTCCCAAACCAAACAGTGGTATTCCATCCTTCCATCCTTCCTTCCTTTCATCCTTTTATCAAATATCCACAACCCTCTTTAATCATATAGAAGAAAGAGAGACGAACCCCCATTACACCAATTCATGTACCGCCAACTCCAAGCTCGAGATTTTTTCTTTTTGGCTGAAAGAAATAAACTATGAATGAATAAATCATGAATAAATGAATCTTATTGACCACCGCTAAAATCAACCAGACTAAAATCAAACGATTCGTCATTTTCCAACATGGATGCTTGTGCAAAGGAGTCTGGATATTGTGCTTCGATTGCAGTTGTTGATGTTGGGGGTAATTGAGAGAATGACGTCGGTTGAAAGGTCGAATTTACATCAGCTTGTGTCACTGAATTCCATTGACGCATTTGATCCATTTGAATCTGAGACGTCTCATTCTGATACATTGAATAGTCGGTTCTGTTGGAAAGTGTTCCTGGGGTTGTGTCGGTATGATTTTGATATATGCGTTGATTTGGGTTTATGAATGAGATCGATGATTGCCTGGATGAATTGGCTTGGATGCTTTGATGACTTTGGGTGCTTAAATTTCGTCCCATCGATACTGCCATATTTTGCTCATAGACTGGTACTTGGCTTGGTAATGGCGATTTTCCAAGGCTAGTCTGGTTCATCGGGGAGGATGCCATGTTTTGATCATAACTCGGTGTTTGATAGGGTAATGGCGATGACATAGTTTGTCCAAATTTCGATTTAGGATCCATCTGCGGCGATGCCATATTTTGATCATAGCTTGGTGAATGATTTGTAAATGGCGATGATACACTTGGTCCAAAACTTGAATGTCGACTTAATGATGGCGGAGGTGTAGGCATATGTTGTGTCATCGCCCCCGGACGATTAGAATTTTGAGAGAATAATTGCTGGCCACATTGTATAAAGAGTGACATCTCCGTCGCCATTTGAGGTTCCACTGACTCAAGTATACCTTCATCTCGAGCACCGTCAAGTAAAGCTTGAATATTGGCTACTAACTCAGGATTGTCGCGCAGATGTTGCACGAGATCTTTATGAGTGGTAGGAATGGGTGCTTGATTGTACAAGGGATAGTAATGAGATTTCATGAATTTTCGCATTGGGCTTTCCTCTTCCTCACCAACTAATCCTGATCTTACAGCTTCCTCGGTAATAATAAGTCCTCGACCGGTTCTCAGCTTGTGTATGGCTGAAGCCGAGCGGGCAGATTTCATTCGTGATTCAAATTCTTTACGATCGCCTCTATTGGATGCGGCGATAAATGCTCGCTCACTGTGGAATAACTTTTCGGAATCGGTCTTAGGTTTCTATTGAGTATGTTAGAGGCTTATCAAAAGATAAACATGAAGAATGTATTGGATGTGCATACTTTGCCCAAAGGCTCGTTCTCGACTACCCTCAAAACCTTTGTCTTCTTTACTTTTGGCATTGGATTACTTGGTAATGTACGGTACAATCTTTAAGTGTGATAATCGATAAGCATAGAAAGGTTGATATGGTTGAACTGTGAATGTTTGTTTGTAGTGAAATAAATTGAGTAACGCTGTGTGATGATGATACGATCGATAAACGTGACAGATGCGATGACGGAGAAATTGGTAAGAATGAATTGAAGGTTAAGAGGAATTGCTTTTAAATTAAATTCTAGAAGGGGTTCTCTGCGATTACAAATATCTGATGTATAAAAATTGAGTGTGGAGTTGTGATTTGAACTGCGATTGTGATTGTGATTGCGATTGTGAGGTCGATTGCGAGGTCGATTGAGAGATCGATTTTGAGATGCCTGGATGAAGGGGTCGTAGATCGTAGGTAAGCGAAACTTTGTTGAATGCGGATGAGATGGACTAAAAAGAGGGTAAAATGGGTGATATCACAGATGTTTGAATCGGTGGAATGAGGAAATTTCTTTTTTTGTTTGAAGATGTGAAATTTGGGTTGAGTTGATTTTAATTGAGATAAATCTTCGATTGGTAGTTGAATGGTAGGTAGAGGAGGAGGTTAGGTTATGTAGATTGAAGTGAAGTGAGTGAAGTAAAGCGATGCTCTGAAAAGTGGGTTATTGACCCTTGATTGAATCAATCAATAAATAAAATAAGTGAATAAATCAGTAGCAGATTTTGATATTAAAAACGTGTCCTTGGAGTTTGTGAGTGGTAGTTGGTAAATCGAATAATACAAATCAAGTTCTAGAAAAACAGATAAGCTTTCTTTTCCTCGAGTGCAGTGCAAACTTGAAAAGATGGGAATTCCAAGCTTCTTTTGAACTTTCCGATCAAGAAAGGGTACCGGATTTGAAGAATCCGATCAATTCCATCTAGGCCGAATACGCCTAGATGATCTCACACTGAGACAAGACAGAGAGAACCTTGAAGTCCGAAGTCCTTGTATGAAAGGACTAGACCTGGATGATACCTATTAATAATTTAATAATGCTGGAATTGTTTATTGATTGATTTACGGTTTTACTGTTTTACTGTTTTATTTATTGATTGACTTTACGATCAACAATATGCTTGGAATAATGTGACGGTGACGCGTATTCTCTAGTAGCTAGGTATGGATGTAGCTATTTACTATTTACCCATCGACACAAGTCTTACATATGCCAACTGAAGAATCAAATCGCAAACACTTGCTTCTTTGGCATTTATCTGAAGATAGCCACTCCTCACTCATCATGATTGAGTCACCTCGATCGGAATGCATTAAATAGTCGCAGCATAGTATCCAAGTATCATCACCAACTCGAATACGAATAAGAGAAAAAGAAGAAGAAAAGAAAGTTCAAGATCTGGGTACCCAGTAGATATCAGATATGTACATCCATATCATATGCAGGTGAAGAAAGTAAATGAAGATCTGACCGTGACACAACCCAGGAATCTTTTTGACAGATCGGAAGTGTCTCCACTACTTCTTCTCTCATTGGTCCATATGTGGAGAAGTAGCATCTCTCATTGGTAGATCCCGATTTAAGCATGGGCTTTTCAAGATTGGCGAGGTTTACTCTGTAGTGTTGTTCAAGGTCATCCTTGCTCGTATCCCTGCCATTATCCCCATGGCTTGGAACCCTTTTGCATCTTTTCATCTTTTTTCATCCTCAGCCCGGGAGGAGACACCTCTGTCACTGCCCTTTCTTATTATTTGATTGGTTGGTCGCTTCCAGATCCTGACATGGTTCAAAGCTTCACCATCAAATCGCAAATATGACGAACAGGGCTGTTTACCCGTTTTTACTAGGGGTCCAAGATGCCACCATGTCACATATCTAACTTTTTTTTATTTTTATTTACTGGACCACCGTGGAGATATTTCAAATACCTAGGTAACCGATCAGTAATCGCGCTCAAACACCTAATCACATGATTCGTATTCGTGTTTCCTGATATTTTTTATCTTTTTCACCCACATTTTTCTTCTCTCGAGAGTCGAAGTCTGTCTATTAGTGACGTTCTTCTCCAAACAAAGCAATTTCTCGCTTTCCGGATGATCATGTAGTCGCTATGTAGAATGCAGCGGGGGGTAATCCTACTAGGTGTTAGATAGTAGGTACTGGCTACTGCATCGCACCTTCGATGTACATGGTAGTCATCACTTACCAATCATGAAACACTATGCCGATCGCCTGTCCCGAGTTTTTGGTGAACCACGGATGCCCTCTTTCTAGCTGAACATGTACCTAGTACTCTGTAGTGAACACGCCAAGAACTTTCTACTTTTTTTTTGGGCCACGAGCATAGTCAATCTGTATCAAATAAAATAGATAACACCGAATAGATGCAATCTACCCATCCCCGCAGAATTCGATCACAATAATCAGTAAAAAAGACATCGATATCAAATTATTCCCAAAGTTTTTTCTTTTGCGTCACAGATTTCACAGATTTTCCCAATTTCCTGGGATTTTTCTTTTCGCATAATTCCCGGAGATCTGAAAATACAACGGTTAGCTTTAAAATCCCCGGTCTCTAATTCTTGGCGATTATTGGGGATTTGGCTATTTCGGCCAAAATCGCCCCTCGCTTATATTTCTATCGAGTTAGGCACTTAGGCATTATTGATTGTTCTGATTGTGTGATTAGCTCAGCATTTACATCACTGACTTTATTTTGCTGAATGAATCGTGTTTTCTCTATCATCCCGGAACTTCACTGGTTTGATATGATCGAGCACGTGGTAAGAATGTGATATCTGTATGAGCTATGCATATTCGGTAATGTTTGGGGTTTGGATTTTAGTGGTGGCTTTTAACCTTTGTGTCATTTTTACAGCTGCTATGATGAATGTGCAGTACTTTTCAATTCTCTTCATTCATCTCTCTCATCATTCATCTCTCTCCTCACTCATCTCTCATTCATCTTCCTCCTCACTCACCTTTCCGAACGTTCCAATACTCTATTAGTATAGTCCCACTACTAAAATTCATCCAAATCTTAGTTTCATTTACGTATACCGAATGAGGCTAGATGAATATGGACAGGACAACGAAGGGTTCTTGCACTCCCTGCTACGAGGCTGATCCTTCGGTTCACCATCCGATTCTAAATAGTTTGTAACCAAATACTCCATAAGTGAATGACCTTGGACTGATGAGGTAGAATTTGGTCAAAGAGGATTAGCGTCCTCTTGAGTTTGGAAAATTGCACAATATTTTCACAATTGATATACCTTCCTCGTATATACAGTTTTATACACAGGTCACCGCTTCAATATGAAGCCAGTTCAACTCCAGGCTTCAGCTCAATCAGCATACCATGTTTTATGCCATAATTCGTCGGGTGTTTCCGCAATCCCCTCTCCCTAATCGTTCTATACCAGGATCCAACCTATTTATCTTCTGGCACAGCTGCCTATTATGCATCGATGGATCGATCCACTTCATCTTGCTTTTGCATATCCTTTCGCGAATAATACCACATTTAGACAACCCATCACCTCGACAGAGCACATCACTTCAAAAAACATATCCAATCGAATAAGACTATCACAAAGTCGCTCAAGTATGCATGCATGTCTTTCTCTACACAACTTCAAACCCATAACACTTTTACCATAAATTTTATTTCTTTTCAAATTCTACACCAAATTTCGATTCTCAACTTCAAACTAAAGGTAAAATATAAACACCAATCTTTCTTTCTTGACACTAACAATAAAAGCATAATCAAAAATTCCCCAATAACATTTTCACCACTTGGGAAATTTAAATTCCAATGATTAGCCAATACATTATTTCCCAGCCTTCTACTCCACAACCCACTCCATTTCATATTCGCTCATCAGAATCTAGTTTTAAGAATCGGGATTAATCACCTGAAAATATTGAATGTCACACTCAAGAATACTGGGTAAAGTATCTTGTATTAGAAAATACTAAGCTAAGGAGAAAAGAAGAAGGAAAACAAGAGTAGAGAGTTTTCCTGTGATTAAATACAAACGGGGCATGCCACGTGATCCGGAGGTGTGAGGCGTCACAACTTAAGTCCCTGCTTGACGTTTAGTTATAAACCACTTCGAGAGCCTAGAGCACTTCCACGTGATCTAGACGGCAAACATCGTAACAAAAAATCGAATAAATACAAAAATATAATAAAGATATTATTAATATTCTTTTATTCTTAAAAAAAAGATTTAAATAAAATTAATAAACTATAAAAGAAACTCTAAAATAAAAGTAATAATTTTATATTTTCAAAAAAAAAAAAAAAAAAAAAAAAAATAGAAAAAAAAAGGAAATTATATTATAAAACATATATTATAAAATCCTATGTATAATAAAGAAAAAAGATTTAATCTTTTTTAATGATTAATTAGAAAATGAAAAACCTTTATTTAAAACCTTTAATATAGAATTAATTTATATAGAATTAATCTACTTGTAACGATACTGTACTGGAGGCAGCGGCTGCCTGAGGTTTCGTCTGATTGGTAGTTGTAGGTTAAGGCTTTATCACTGGTATTCACTTGGAAGTGAATTCGTTACTAGATCAAGTAGAATGTAGGTAAACTAATTGATAACTAAGTTGAGCACGAAGCTCCTAAACTATGAAACTATTCTGACTATATACTATCGATTTCCTGACTGCTAGCAGTGCTAGCTGGCTAGCATAGCTAGCACATCGCGTGATTCTACTTCTCACATGACACTAATCCTGCGATGGTGAATCGTGATACTACTCTTGAATATAAAAGAGTAAGACTTAGTTCTATATTAAAATATAATCTTATTATTGTCAATACTATATATTTCTTATCGTGTTATAAAAACCTAATATAATTTGATATATATCATTTAAAATATATATATTATAAAGCTTTCTTCAAGTTATTTTGATTTAGAATAAAATACCAAAATAAAACAATATAAATAAAAGAAAAAGAAAATAATTTATAACATCAAGATTGAATTCTAGAACACTGACACTATTAGTAAATAAAATAGAGTTACTTACTCCATCCATTTATTCATCTCATAATGAACAAATACACACCATTCATCTTCACCTTCACCATCATCTTCATAGTCATACTCTCTACCATCAACTGATCTGTACTATATTCCTATTTCTGTATTCTCTCTATACTACCAAGCAAGCAAGTAAGCAAGCAAGCAATGCTCACACAAATATGAGAGGTATCAAATACCAAAATACCATCATGATCCATTCATATGTACGCAATACCTGAAAATTGACGATAAAAAAATCAAGCTGTGTACGCAACGCATGCATGGGATATCATGCTATTTCATTCCAATCCATTCAATTCGTCAATCATATCATATCATATCAAAGGCAAATAATCAAAGTATCAAATCTGCCTCTTCCTTCATCCCACACATGCTCCCTTCTTCCCAGACTACCTGGAATTATGCCCCATGTCTTAATCAGTCCACCTACCCATCCAAGCTCCATGTTACAACCGAAAATATTACCAAGTATTGCCATGTTCATCCAATGGCATTTGCGAAGTAACACCCGTCTTATTCTCTACATCCTTCTTCGGCATAATGTGTATATGTCGCGGGTTCACAAATCCCGCATTCTTCACTTCCCCCATCTCGATATCCTCATTATGATGTACCTCAACACCATTCTCTAAGTTTTTAGCCCACGAATTCGTACTTGTAGCAGGAGGTAATTTTGGCATCTCAACTTCTCTCAAGTCCCTATGCACAGCCCCTACCAAATCCTTCACATCTGAACTTCGTACATAGCCGAGATAGTAAGGAGTGCCACTCGCACCAGCAGCTTCGTGTTCAAAGATTCTACGACGATCACGCACTTCCGTAACATATTCATCATTGTATTCTCTCCAGACATCATTCTCAAAATCATAAATATAGATCCAGTAATGACCACCACCAGCTTCACCACGATGAATAAATACCGTTTGGAGTTTGTATTCATACTTTGTCATGTTGGTGAATTGCTCATTTCGTTTTTGTTTGAGGAGCTGGATTTCTTCGTTATTTCTTTGAATCTCTTGAGTTAGTTCTGCTTGACGTTCTTCCAGCATTGTGATTAAGTCTGTGTCAACTTCGATATCATCCATCTCCTGCAAACTTTTAGTAAAACTATGTGCTGCGGATAACGCATCACAAACAGAGATTTCTTCTGCTGTTTTCTCTTGCCCGAGGGTCCGTTGTCGCTCTTCCAGAGTATTGATACGAGCCTTCCATTTCCATGCTTCTTGGCGCCGGCGCATCAAAATAGAGTCAGGATCTTCAGAGTCCATATATCTATCAAGGTATATCGTCTCTGGGAATATTACCGCATTTCTGTTCTTATATGCCGTATGCTTGATATTATCGTAACGTGTGCGTTGGATTTGTACTTGTAGGATGGGAGGTAATTTAGTAATAGATGCATATTGTGGTTGAACAGTACCATCAATATGTACTTGCTGTTCATCAAAGACCACATCTAATGCTTCGTAAATGTCTCGAGATTTGTTCTCATCCGGGAAAATGATAAGATTAGCCCATGGCTCAACTTTCTTTTCTAACTTTTGCGACTTTCTAAGGTAGGATGCATTTGCACCATAAAATGTGTCCCTGATATTGTCGATTTGCTCACCAGATACAGGATCGATACTGGTTGGTTTAATAGCACATTGTAAACGAAACATCACGTTTCCGATGACCTCTGTAACATCTTGCTGGGATCCAAATTTCCATAAGTCATCGTCGGTGATGACCTCTTTTTCATCATTTGTCTGTATGGAAAGGCCAGCTTTATTTCTTGGAGGGATTGGAGGTGGCTTTTCTGGTGCAGTGGGGACGACGTCCGGAGCTTGGGATACCGAATCACCATCGACCATGACAGCATCGTCAAATGTACTGCTAGTGTCCTCTGTCTTGCTGTCCCAGACTTTTTCTACTGCCGCACTTGTTTTACCTACAACATCAGAGTATGGAGGTAGACCATCCATGTCTGGTGCCTCTACTAATGTGCCTTCACTACTATCATCGCGTTGATTTGAGTCTTTGTCTTCAGGTCGTTCGACCATTTCAATGTCCTCATCAGTTGAACGTGGAGGAGGGATTGTAACCGTCGGGGGCCCTTCTGGTCCAAAGATGGGGCTTATCATGGATGCGATGTTCGGAGGACCACTTGGACTACTGATAGAAGCTCGTCGAAAATTCGCTTCAGCTGCTGAGCTAAATATAGTCAATTCGGCTAACTCTCTGGTAGGCTTGACGGATCTTGTTGAGGCAGTCTTCAGATTTTCAAAAAGGTCGTGTAATTCCATCACGACTAGATATGATTAGCGAAATGACATCTCCGAGGAAATATGCGTGGCTTACATTTTTGAGCCTTGATGATTTCAGCTTTACTGACCGCACGACCTCCAACACGCTTCTTCTTGATATCCTCCTCATTTAAAGACATGCGAATTTGTTCAAAATTCATAACTACCTGTCGAACAGATTTGACCGTGTAGTAATATTGAAGGAGGCTGTTCAGATAGCAAGTGTTCCCAATGTTGTCCAGACCAACAGGTTGATTAACTGTTGACTTTTCCGCTTGGATATCAGCATGTGGATCATCAAGTTTTCTTAACAAGTAGCTACTCTGTCGATCATGAGCTATCACCCGAAACGCCTCTGTGTAGCTATCCGATGATCCAGCAGGAGCACCAGCCCTCAAGCTTTCGTAATAGGCAAGTACGGTATCATCTGGAGCACGCCTGTCGTTGATTTGAAGTCGATTGTATGCTTCGCCAACGTCAAGATTCGAATCTTCAGTTCCTGACTCCATGGATGTAGCCGCACGCTGCAGGGTGTAATCATTTCCGCGGTTGTTAGCAATAGCCCTCAAGGCTTTTGCGACTTTACCCTTGTCACCTTCGAAGGACTGTTTGAAAGTTAGTTGAGAATCTTTAAATAGCTCCTATTGAAGACTATAAACATACCATGGCGATTGCGGCAGCTTCAATGCTATCCGAGGCAGTATCTGAAGTGACACTTAGGAATTCGAGAGCTTCCTCAAACGTCATTGTCCTATCATTCGCTACAGTTTCTATAGCAATGCTCCGCCTATCCTTTGCTATCACACGCAGACATTCGCGTGCCTCGTCTTTCTGGCGAGGTGCAGAGTCAATACGAGACTGATAAACACCAATAATGTAGTCATCGGCCTCAGACTTGATATCGCTTCTCCGAAGCGCAAAGAATGAGTAAGCTTTCTCGATATCTTTCAGACTGACTTCTCCAGTAGACATGATCATTGTAGCTTTCGTTTGAAGATCGGAACTGCGGCGTCCGTTTCCAAGCTCCCGCAAACAGTCCAGATAGTATGGCTTGTTCTCCGGGTCACATTGACATTGTCGATCATAACTCCAAGCTAAGAGGTCATCCGTGAATTGTTCGATTGCGCCTAGACTAGCGTAACATGGATGCTCCATAGAATCCACGATTTGAACAGCATCTCTTTTCGGATAGTCATCGCAAGCCAAAGATCGTAAAATATCAGGTAAAGCATAGGTGGGAGAGTCGAGGGTTTGAGTTGAAGGTGCCTTTTGCTCCATATCTGGTCGCTCAAGCATGAGCTGGTTGAGCTCGAACGTGATATCGTCTATGAATATGCGGTTCTTATCATCGACAACGGGTAAAATCCAAAATGCTTCGAATTCCTCCTGATGAAAAAGTTAGTGATGTAATTGAATTGCAAGAGGGAATCTGTCAACTGAAACCCCGAACCACAAGGTATAGCATGTTGATGGAGTACATACTACGGGATTGGACGATGGTCTCAGCTCGAGCTTGAAACCCAGGTAACTCAGTAGGACGTCACAATCGTCTCCGAATGCCAATCTGAACCTCTTGTTTCTCGCTGCAATATCCCTTCTATTCTCACTTCCTGCGTCTTGTAAATATTTACGCAGATTGCCAAGAACCTGAAATGGATATAACGGCCTGTGTCCTGGGAATCTTGCGGGATCTTCCTCAATCACTTTCTGTCCACGAGCTAAAGTGTCTTGAGGATTTATCAGGAGGGCTATCATACTCGCGGACAGCCGAGGTGGCAATATTTTGACTTCAACTTTGACTGGACAGGTAGTGGCAGTGCATGCAAATTGATGCACCACAAATTTGTAAGTGTTTTTCGAGTCCTGCGACGATATAGAGTCAACTACTCGAAAGTGATGGAGCGGGTTTTCCAGATCCATATAATTACAAGGAGTTTGTCCATCTTTCCAGTCCCGGAAATCCACTGTTATCAGGAAATGATATCGGCATTTAGAACAGTATGTAGCTATTTTGCAGATTGTTGTGGGATCTGGTCTCTCATGTGGACGAAGAGGTGCAGTTTGGGAGTCTTTTTCATAAAGCTCATGGTGACAATTGGAGGCAAGGAGTCTTTGATCAACGTGGGATTCATTGAATATTGGTGCGGGATCTACGAGAATATGTCTGCCCGTCTTTGCGCTTCTCCTTAAATCGTAGTCAAGTAGATCGTTCACTAACCTAGGGGCCGTCTTCCCTACATGGTCACACAGAATTAGCCAGACCCCAGTATATGCAAGAGGCTTGGAGTCTCTAAATTCACAAGGAAAATGAGTCGCAGAACTTGCCTGGTCCAGGGCTCTTCTCGTAGTCAAACATAGCACCTTCCACTTATCTGCCGCACGCTTTGCCAGCCGATATTCCGTAATTCGTTTCCAACTTAGTTACCCCGCCTCTAAGATTACGGACTTGAGAATATGTTGAAGTTGGGCGAAAGATCAATATATTGGTTGGCATTCGAAAGGATATGCTTTGAGAAGACCCTCGAAGACGAGTGAAAACGTTGGGCCCACCGAGGTACTCAATGTATTTTTGGCTGTTTGGATGTGTAACGGTGATTGAACTTCCAAATTCGGTGAGGAGAGTGCAAGCAACAAGAGAAAGGGAACTGGTGCATGAACAAGTTTTATGGTTAGAAAGAGAAATTTGTACAATTATTTTCTGTCAAGCGTGTGGTCAAATATGTATTTAATTGTATGTATTCTCATCTAAACAGGTGAAGGTTTATGTGCCTGCATTTTGTTGCTTAGAAGCTTAGGTTATTAGAATGGTGATGACGGAAATAACCAGCCCCGCCCCGGTGGATGCGGTGGATGGCGGCTACAGACCAAGCAGCGTTTAGCGGTATGTTCCGTCCAAAAACCCCGGATCTATCAACCTCAAGCCAACGACATAGCGACTTTTGAGATCTCGATTTCAACTATTGACTTCCCGCATTGCCCCAACATGGCACCGAATAGTGACGTTTACCACCCTCAAGATGCCTTGAAAGCAGGAATCAACGGCGCCTTGATTTCGGGATCCGCTGGTGCTTTTGCTTCCGCGATCCAAAATACTTTACACAAGAAGAATATCGGAGCATTAGGTTTCATTACAAGGACAGGAAGCACAGCTTTCATAATGAGTAAGCCTGTCAAATCGACCTTTTGGCCGCTTTCATGCTGACACTTTTCAGCCGCGATCGGTGGAACATATGAATTCACAAAATACGCATCCGCCAACTTGCGAGAGAAGAACGACACTTACAACACTGCAATTGGAGGTTTTTTGGCAGGATCAGTCCTAGGATTAAAATGTCAATACCCACCCAAATCATTCGCAGCGGACTGATGCTAATTTATTGATAGTCGGAACAACCCCTGCGGTGCTTGGATTTGGGACTTTGGCGGCGGTTGTGCTTAGTGCATTCGATTATACTGGCGGTGCCCTGTCCGGATACAAGAGAGATCCAAATGTAGATGAATTTGAGAGGAAGGAGCATTTGAGAAAAAACCGAAGGATACCTATTGAACAGACGGTAGCAGAATTGGGCGAAGGAAGAGGTACGTTTTACCAGCCATTTTGAAGAACCTTCAACTAATCACTTCAAGGCATCTATGGACCAGGTTATGACGAGAGAAGAAGGGAGAGGATCAAGGAAAGATACGGTATTGATGTACCAGCTAGATCTTAAGGGACCTTGTATTTATAGTATGGAGGCCTCGAACAACAATGTACATATGTTTAGGGCTTGCAAATCGTTTTAAAATTATAGGCTGAAGACCTATATTTCAGTTTTATGAACTGACGGCGACCTCATGCCTAACTCCGATCATAGGAATTTGAATGATTATCAAAAAGACCCAGAGCACAAGTGAGCATGTTCGAGGGGCTGCTTCTAGCTGAAAGGAAGCAACGCAATTGGCGGGTTCTCTATCACCCACAGGGAAACTGTATCAACACCTGTGTCAAAAAAAACTTTATGATTTTTATGTCAGCTAGTAACACTGAAACTCGACCAAGAGCAAGCTTTCAGCCCTCATCTTCTGGCCAATAATCAATCACGTGCATGATGTAAATATTGAACTACTGCCGGCAAATACTAATTGTTGAGTTTAACCCCGCAACATGCTGCGAACCTCGTCCAACCCCTCATTGATCGACGGTTTGAGTAGTATAGTTATAAGGTCAGCATTTCTACAAATTCAGACACATTTCGTCTTTACAATCAACACGATTTGCAACCTTCTCGTGTGCCTTCACTTGCATATTTTCGATCACAGGAATTTTGTGCGGCCCCGCTATCAGCCAAAAAGTGGTGTGCTTGAAAATCAAGTCATCTGCTTCCACTCTACAACCAGTTGTTGACCCATTTTCGGGCGCACGTTGAGACCTTGGAAGTAAAAGGACCTGTTGATTGCCGCGACAAATATTGATATACAGTAATACAACACTCTTATTTATTTTATTTTTTTTCAATACTTTTTACTTTTTAATATAATGGAGAAGGCGATGCCAGCTGTTCGTGCACCATTTAACCAGTCGGCTGGATTGTCGCAGGATGTGAAGGAACGTTTCTATCGACACTTTCAAGGAGAAGTGACAGGCGAGTCAAGATCTGCCCGGCTACTGAATCTAAGAATCTGGGAGTGTTAATCTTTCAATAGATCTCCAACAGCGAATAAGCCAGCTCGGGAATCTCTCCTTGGTTGGAGGGGAAAGGCAAGATGCTACAGACTACTGCCTTGCCAGTATCACAAGACTTTCCAATGAAGTCGCCGATGCCACTGATTATCTTCCAGCATATGATCAGAGAACTTATTCTCAGGCAAGGATATCCTTAAAGACCGATGCACTTATACTGATGACAACCAGGCCATTAAAGGTCTCTCAGAGAATTTACAAGAGGTAAAAGCCAAAGCCGCACCAAGAACTAGGTTTCGGTTCACATCTACGAGCAAGAATAGTTCTGCGGTTTCTATCAACGACGCCGCTCAGCTAGCCAAAGAAAGTCTCGATGCTGCTATGAAGTCGTCTATGTTGTCTTCCACCGAATCATCAATAGCTACGACGCCAGCTGATTTGATGACACCGCTCGGTGAAAACAGCGCTAGGGACATCGTTGGCGATCTACCTTCTTTCCCCAAGAATTATAATGCCGAGATGGCCACTGCCTCCGACCAAATCCGAAAACCCAGTTTCTCAGAAGCAAGCACCATAAATATCACAGGTCACACTGGTCTTCACATAATCCTACCTTCCTCAGCGTCCCGCGCGACTTCTTCTGGTGCTATAACGAAACTAAATAGGTGTATCGTCGACATGTCGGTACCGACGGCCAACGGAGCTCCTTTTGCTGGGCTTGCCTTGAAGAACATCAAGCATTCTTTAGTTATAGCTGGGCATATTGCAGGACCAGCGCATGTTACCGGTATTGAGGATAGCATAATTGTCGTTACGTCAAGACAAGTCAGAATACATGAGTGTAAGAATGTTGATATATACCTGCATTGTGCTAGCCGGCCCATCATCGAGGACTGTAGCAATGTTAGATTTGCACCAATCCCGGGTTCCCAGGTATGTTCTACCACAGTTTACAGCTAATATCGGAACACTGACATTATGTCTAGAATGTTACAGATGAATCCATCGAAAACCAATGGGATCAGGTTGATGACTTTAAGTGGCTTAAAGCGGAGCCTAGTCCAAACTGGACTATATTACCCGAGGAGGAGAGACTGAAAGAGGAAATTTGGACAGATGTTATACCAGGAGGGCCAGGGGTCGGGCTTGAGGATATTCTGAAGAAGGTTGGGCTCGTTGGGCGATAATTATCACTGACCTCTTCTAAGCATACAGTCCTCTGATGCAGGCCAACCAGTGATGTACATAAGATGAACGTTTGGGTAATGCTATAGCGTAGTAATAAAACGTTTCTTCTGTGATTTCATATTGTTGATATTGTATTAAAATCATAATAGTATCGCTGCTGAGGAACGAGTGTGCATTTTGCTCTACCCAAACTTCTTATCATCCCAACACTCCGCCCCGAGTCTCGCGCCATCCAGAGCGCTCAGCGCACGATAATGCCTCAAAAAGCCTGTTCGATCTTGAGGGAGCTTTATTTAGCGTACCTCACAAGGTATTCCATGGTGCTGAACACCTGACTAATCCCGTTAGACCTCTTTCTTCATGAATAGTATTCCCCATTACGAAAGTAATGTTTGATTCCTTTCTTTCTTCCCCTCTTTCTTATTTTTATTGACTATCCACTCTCTCAAGTCTCCAGTTTCTCTCGTTCTTTCTTCTCGACTATCCAGTCTCTCAAGTTTCCATTTTATCTCCAGATCCTCTCTCCTCTCGCTCTTTCTTCATATTCAGTCCTACTTTCATCAACAAATTCAAAACCTCCTTCTGCTGTCCAATCTTCTCCTCGCACTCTCTTATCTCCTCTTCCTGGTCTTCAATAGTTCTATGCATATCCGGCATACCCCTCACACTCACCCTCGCCTTTTGTAATTTATGCTTGATGCCATCGGTCGCGGCGTAGATATCTTTGATATTTAACGGCCCGGTACTATTTGCATTGAATGAAGGGGTCGCGCCTGGCGGAGAAGCTGCGGATGGATTACTTGGAGAGAAGTTTTGGAGACGAGAAAGTGTTTCGCAGAGCACTGGAATTGTATCGATTGAATCTGCAGTAAGACCCTCAGGGAGAATCATGGTTGAAGGAGCTTGAGACGATGTAACTTGCGATGGGGTAGTCGTCATCTTCAATCAACTTTTCGTATTGGATTATGAAACTCAAAATCCGGACCCGAGTCAACGGATTCTGCAGTGTCTTCAAATCCTCGAATCGAATCGCGTTAGAGATTGAATGTGGAGAGGTCCGATCTGTCCTTGTCCTTGTGTGCTAGCTAAGCAAAGCAAGCAGGGCAGGTTCGCTCTTATCGCGGCGGTTTCGCAAGTACGGCTGGCTTGGAGGGGCCTGAAAACTATCCGTGACCCCACCATAAGCGCAAAAAGCTTCTTAAAGTTATCCCTCAACAATTCACTTTTTTATTTCCTCAAGTCTTTCAATAATAAAGTCTCCCAATCTTCATTGTACATAAGCTTAAATCGATTTAGAATAGATTCTTTTCTCGTACGTGGGTTTTTGGTCCTCGATCTCTTTTTCATTCTTTCTAGCGACGAAAGAAATGCTGATGGACATTGATACTCTTTGTTTTGGCGTACCGAAATTGGAGCTGATATAGCCTGTGTTTAGATTCGAAACAAACAATCTCGCCAAAATGGTCCAAGTCGAAAACAAAGCTGTCTTGAGTACGTCAAAAGATTCCACGTATCCTCAATCTCTTGATATATCTATCAATTTTCCCATAGGATTCTGTTGAGTGAACGTATCCATTTGGCGTGTACATACTGGGACTCGTTCGCAATGCCTCGAACCTCTATTCCCACAGTTCAGCTCAACACTGAGAAACTACTACCCCCTACACCTACGAAGCAGAAACCAGATTATATACTTGCACTATTTTATATCCTTGTGTATCTTGAAGTCTCGTGGCTAATTGTAATGGTTTGGCGCAGTTGTCATTGATGGATGGGGAGTTCCAGGCGAAAATTCACCCAAAGATGGAGATGCTATTACAAACGCCGAAACTCCAGTAATGGACGCTTTCGCAAACAACGCAGATGGTTATACCAAGCTTGAGGCATCGTCCTTGGCAGTAGGTCTCCCAGAGGGCCTCATGGGTAACTCGGAGGTCGGTCATTTGAACATTGGTGCTGGACGAGTCGTATGGCAGGATGTGGTCAGAATTGACCAAACAATCAAAAAGGGAGAGTTGAACAAAAATGAGGTTGTTTTCAAGGCATTCAAGGCTGCTAAGGATGGCAATGGACGTCTTCACCTTTGCGGTTTGATCTCCGATGGTGGTGTTGTAGGTACTCCTCCGACACAATTGATGCAGTCAATACTTACTCGAGTAATAATAGCATGCCAAGCAAGATCACCTCTACGCTCTCCTCAAAGTTGCAAAGGAACTCGAAATTCCCCACGTCTACATTCACTTTTTTGGTGATGGTCGTGATACCGACCCAAAGTCCGGTGCTGGTTATATGGAAGCCCTTCTTGAGAAGATCAAGGAGATTGGAATTGGTGAGATCGCGACAGTGGTTGGCAGATACTATGCAATGGACCGTGATAAGCGATGGGACAGAGTCGAAGTTGCATTGAACGGTCTGTGTATTGGTGAAGGGGAGGAGAGCAGTGATCCAGTCAAGACAATTAAGGAGAGATACGAGAAAGGCGAGAACGATGAGTTCTTGAAGCCTATTATCGTTGGAGGAAAGGAAGCTCGTATCCAAGGTAAATGGCTCAAGTTTCTACGAAGTTCGTCAGCGGTACTAACTTACATTCTTAGATAACGACCAAGTTTTCTTCTTCAACTACCGATCCGATCGTGTCCGTGAAATCACCCTACTCCTCGGTGATGTTGATCGTTCGCCAAAACCAGACTTCGCCTACCCAAAGAACATCACCCTTACTACCATGACCCAATACAAGCTCGACTACCCATTCGAAATCGCATTCAAGCCCCAGCACATGGGTAATGTTTTGGCCGAAACTCTCGGTGCCCAAGGTGTTAACCAGGTTCACGTTGCCGAAACCGAAAAATATGCTCACGTCACATTCTTCTTCAACGGAGGTGTTGAGAAGGTATTCCCTCTCGAGGTTAGAGATGAATCGCAAGATCTCGTACCATCAAACAAGAGTGTCGCTACCTACGATCAAGCCCCGGAAATGAGTGCTGCAGGTGTTGCCAAGCAAACGAGCAAGCGTATTTCCGAAGGCAAATTCGAGTTTGTTATGAACAACTTTGCGCCACCTGATATGGTTGGCCACACTGGTGTCTATGAAGCTGCAGTAATTGGCGTTGCTGCTACTGATAAGGCCATTGGCGAGATCTACGAGACCTGTAAAAAGGAGGGATATGTTCTTTTCATCACTTCTGATCACGGGTATGTCTATCACTCTTTCTACCTGTTTCCTTTTAAATAGGCCATACTTACAAAACTTCTTTTTAGTAACGCTGAAGAAATGAAATTCCCCGACGGCAAACCCAAGACATCCCACACAACCAATAAAGTACCATTTATTATGGCCAATGCCCCTCAAGGCTGGTCTCTCAAGCAAACAGATGAAGGTGTTCTAGGTGATGTTGCACCTACGATTTTGGAGGTTATGGGATTGAAACAACCCGAGGAGATGACTGGAACAAGTCTTTTGGTCAAGAGTTAGATTCCCGCCCAGCGTTGAAGTAATTTGCAAATTGTTTCTAGTTTTGCCATTGCATTGTTATGACTAAATGAAGTTTGCGTTGTTTTTTTTTTTTTTTTTTTGGTAGAGCGAGCATAAATTACACAGAATAAAGAGCTAAAATTTCATACTTTACAGGCAAGGGTACGAAGAGAACTCATGATGAGACGAAATAGAGAGAGATAAAGTAGATTCGCGAAGATGTATTTATAGATACCTTGAATGTATTTGGATAGAGTGTTTGTGTATATTGTTGCTATGCACTGTACAGCAGCTACTGTACAGCAGCTCTACGATGACCCTACTTCCAAATCTTCGCCCTCACCTTCCTTGGGTGATATTTCACCTACTGCTCAGTCATTTTATTCTCCCCCTCCATACGCGCCACAGGAGGCATACAGATCTTCATAAACCCCTTGTATTTCTCCGGCTTTCCTGTATCATAATTGAAGAATATCATATGACCTACCTGTCTTCTCAGCAACGATAGCTTGTCGCCTTGGTTGGTGACCGCCATATCGTCGTAATGCCACAGTATCAATCGGGAAATACTTTTATTATGCGATTTTGGTATGAAGAGCTACATGCAATGCAATGCATAGTTATTAGCCATGTTTAAGCCGGGGCTGAGTAGGTCTACCTAGGTAATCTTCCTTAATTGGGAGATCTCGCATGCTTCTTCGAGTTCAAGATTTAATGTCTTGATTGTGAGTCTCATGTTCATAAAATCGTAATCGTGAAATATTCCTTGAGCATCTATGATCCATCTCTCGAATGGATATATCATGCGTTGGTGACAGGTTATCATGTAGTAAGGTCTTACTTACATGTAACGTGTTTGAAAGAAAGATGTCTTGATTGATCGTCGAACTAGTTATTGTTTTATTTCATCTTTGTCTGAACTTTGTTGATAATTACTACTTTATCTTTAGAGCGGAAGCTATCATTCTTGTTGATTGCGAAGTGGTGTATTGAGAGAGTCGCTATCGCTATGGGGAGCTTGAAAGATGATCTGTGTAGGAGTGAGTGTGTTGATGTCTGCGGGAACTGTTATGTTGTAGTGTTCTAGGGTGAGAAAGATATTTACTGGGGGAATATGGTCGGTGGGTAGAATTGTCAATGGGAGTTTTATAGTTGTGTATACATATATATACATATCTTTTGATATTAGATTCATTCGGGAGTTAAAGAAAAGCACGAAAGGTCGAATAGCGACATGCTCTATGGGCTACCACATCGAGATTGAACTTCATTGTTGAAACGGCATCATTATATGCATAAGAATCGGCAAAACACAAGCTATTTAAGTGATTATCTCGAAACTTCACACAGGGATTATGTATCTTGTATATCCTTTTACTACTCAGGTTGATCACTGGTTACTATCCAGTATAGAAAGCTGAAGGAAATCAGGCCCAGGTTAATAGTTAATGTGGTTACTAGAATTTTGGTCCTTCGAACCTTCTTCCACACTTTTCCAAGGGATTTCTAATAATATGTCTTATGAAATTTCAACGGGACTTGGTGAGAACAACTTCTTGTAGCCAATTATGATGGTATTGAGAGCTTAAGCAAGAACCGAATAAACTCTTCTGCGGCTTGCGGAATTAGGCAGACGTTAAAATTTAAGACAGACTGATCAACATATCATACAACAGCTATGCTATTACTATTAACAGGTGCTCATTCATGGTGGCTCGAGTATAATCAGGGAAAGAAAAGGTGATGGTTTGAGTTTGTGAGACCATTGGATATTTGAACCTCCCGACATTTGAAAAATTAAAATCAACCATTGAATAAAAAACCACAATTAACCATAGCTCCATCGTGACCAAGAAACCCTACGGAGGATATGGCTTTGCTATTATCTTCACAAAGTCCTGCAGCAGGAATACTCAGATTCCTTGACAGATGTGATTGTCAAAGCCTTCTTCTTGCCCAGCACTTACTAGCTCTTTACACCCCTTTGAGTGTTCTTCCATCGAGGGGGAAAGATTGCAAGATTCCCCAGCATATAAAGTAAATCAATACTCCACTTGCAAAGAATGCAAGCACACACTCTCCTCGCGACGCTGCACACACTAGGATAAAAAATCCAGCTATGCCCCTTCCTCAAAAAGAACAATCAATTTTGATCTAAAATCTCCAAGCTTGCCGTATAACCACGTATGGATATCTAGATATCTATTCCATTGGGAATAGAATCTGAGCTGTAATTCGCGAATAAGCACAAAGTAATTCCATCAGGAATGGAATTTTCTAAATGAGTTGGTATAGAGATGTTGATAGGGAAGTGGTACTTTATGATCGCTAACTAGCTAGGTTGGTTTGATCTGAAATGTATATTTAACCGTGAAGGGAGGTTGGAATTTGTTAGGACGTAAGTACTAAGCTGCAAAGCACTAGGTACATATCTTCCATCATGTTTGCGGTTAAGGAGTATGTGTCTGAGTACCATTGATCTCGATCTTGATCTTGATTTCGTTGCATCATAGCATTTTGATTTCCGCTGCTGATATAACTTATAAGAGTTATTGTCGATCAAGAAAGGTCCTTTGGGATAACCATTTAGATTTCCTTCCCAATGAGTTCATCCACCCTCTCAAAACCACATAATCCTATTCTTGTAATCATACATAGGCAGAACTACCCTATTCTGTGATCTTGAACATAGTCTGGACTCTGGACACAACTGACTAATGTTAACTTTTCGTAGGGATGGCCACGCGAAGCGTGCGTGCTCTGCATGCAGGTTTGATCGAGCAGAGGAGAAGAGACATAGCCATCGCCATCAGAATTACGAATTCCTCGCACGAACACACACAAGGTAAAGGGCACCAAAAATGCATAAAATCAAAAAGTTTACAGATAAAACATGATAAAAATAAAAATACAACCACCACCTTGACCTATGCGCGCAAGGAAGAAACCTCTAGGCTCATACTAAAGTAATCTTAACAAAAACTTCTCTGCATTACCTGCCCTACCTTACAGCACAGCAAATTTATATTTACAGAGGTTATACAGTATGTACCAATATACCCTTGTCCCAGCAAGTCAATACGGGTACAGCAGACACGCAGACACACACACACACGCGCAACAAAAATCAGCGACATTCCCCACATTCTAGATACAGTAAGTAACGAAAGTCTCCGCTTGAAGATAGCACTTCGACCTAGCAAGACACAGATAACAAATTATAAGTTCTAACCTAAGACGGAAACTCAAGTAGAGGCTCAGTCTGTAAGGGGACTCTCATAGTTGCAACTTTGTTGGTAGGGGCTTTATGATATGGATGAATGAGACCCTCAATGGCAGGAAAAATTCAAGAAAGAAGTCATAAAAATGAATCAACGCATCATATTATCGATCTGGTGAACGCCCCCCACCCCACTCCAAGTATAGGTATCTGTATGTTTTTCATGTAATCACTCATCTTACATTACCTCTTTGGTCTACTTCCCGCAACCGCTCCCCCCAACCTCCCAAACTTACCAAGACCACCCCTTGGTTTCGTGTGTTGTGCCCCCGGCGGAGTCGAATTTGGCGCTTCCTTAGGTACTGGGGACGGACCTGATAATCTCGGGGAATCTTTAAAGCCCCTAGTATCTCCACTTTCCATCCTCGATTCAAATCCGCCTAATCCATCATCCATATCTCCACCAGGCCTCCTTGCCCGCCTAGCCCTCTCTTGTACAATTCTGAACTTATCCAGTAATTCTCCCCACCTAATACCACTTTCCTCCCTGCCTTTCAATCTGCTACTCCTGTCATAATTTGACGGCCCTGCAGTCGTCTGAACGCTAAATGAAGGAGAAGAACCATGAGTCTCTGTGCCACTCTTCTGACGTTGATGGAAAGCAAAGGTAGAAATCGCGTCGACTACACTGTTATTACGAGATGAAGAAGGTACGTACGCTCGAGGTGCTATGTGCAGATAACCTATCGCACTAACACTATTTAATCTATTCTTCAATGCTGCAAAAGCCGATGATTGCGGAAGCAGCATAAGAAGACCGTAAAGACATTTGTAAAGATGAGGGTATTTTTCAGGTTCAAGTAGTTGAAGTCGAAGATCTAAAACATGTGGTTAGTGGAGTTCTAGGTCCAGTGTCATCATCTTACATGTGAAGACCGGAGATTCTAGCAATTGGACCAGTTTATCGATTTGAATGAGCATATTGACTGTCATTTCGAGCTCGGCACTATTCATGTTAGTATCGTTTCAAATCCGAGCCGCTCATTCATGTATACAATATCTGTAGAAGATTATATGCTTGCTCATAAGCTTGTCCTAAAAGACACAGTGAGAAGGTAGCGACAGCATTGTAGCACCAAGACCTGAAAAGAGCAACGAAGAAAGCTTGCCCGTCCTATATGAATATTAGCAGATGATAAACCAGGTAGATGTGTATAACAAACCCTATTCTCGATATTTCGAAGCCTCTTTCTAAGGTCTGCTAATTCGGGTGCAGTGATGAGATTATTGTTGAGATTCTGGACCATGATGCTAGCAAATTCTACATCCTCTTCCTTTTCTATGCAGTCCGCAAGTGTTCGGTAGATTCGTTCCGCACTTAAATTGATGCATAATTGCCTAATAATCAAGTTTCCTCGAGTTTCGAGGAGCTTCCTGTCAGTAGAAAATAGTTGAAGTAAGTTTACCATGAAAGAAGTAAAGTAGTCATCATCACTATTTCTCGATATTTGAGATAATAGTTGAAGATCCTTAGTAACTACGGCTTCAGATGGATCAGAGAGTGTTTTGAGAAGAGCAGGAAATATGCCATCATTAAATGCAAGTAGTTTCTTGGGAGCCTTTCTGTGTAGCATGAGTAGCCAATTTAGGGCTTCAACTCTGGTAACTTCGTGATCATTCAGAAACAGCAGCGTGAGTGAACTGACCGCTGCTGCATAATCTAGATCTACATGTGCCTGATATGGGGGAGGTGTCTGTGCTTTGCTGGTTGGGGGCGGGGGAGTTTGTACTTCTATCTCCCTTTTATCAAGCTCACGAGACCCTGACAAGGAACCGCGGTTTGTGGCAGAAGAATCTCTTCGTTCTTTTGGAGTAGACTCCTTCATCGCGAGGAATCTAGATGGGGCCGAAGATGGAACCTCTGATGCAGTACCCTCGTCCGATAGTGACACAACATAAGCCATTAATGATGTGTTAACTCGGGCGGCGGCTTGCCGTATTGTTTCGACCCCACTAGCCATCGCCGGAAGCAAATGAGCCAATATCTTTGGAGCAAATGGAAGAACTTCTTCAGGGCAAATATCGAGAAATTCCACGATCCATCTCAGTGATTCAAGTAAGCTATCCTCCTCTAATTGATGTAAGCGAATTGGGTTAAAATGTTTAATGCTGCATCTTACCTAACGGAGTATCCAAATTTGCCGTAAGAATCTCAAGAATTGCTTTGTGGTTAACGTGAACATCTTGACCGGGAACCCAATCATCGTCGCTGCTGATGTCCTTGTCATCTAAATCCATGTTTGAGTCATCGTCCCCACCTAAATCTTGCACTAATGATCCCTCACTATCCATAGAACCAGATCGCTTCCGTTTCGTATCGCTGCGTGATTTTCGACTTTCTTCGATTCCTTTCTTAATGCGTGATATTCGTTTGATCTCGCTGAGAAATCTCTCAATTGCACCTTGAGTAGCCACGTGAACATCTCGATTCGGATCACTCAAAAACTTGAATAGCCCTCCGAGAAATTCAGGTAGGAATGAGACAAGTTCTAAATCTGGAATAGAATCCAGTAAAGTTATCCATCCCACAAGAAAGGTACGCGTGAACGGGTTTATCACGTAAATCCGCTCTTTAAGTAAAGGTATGAAGCGGGCCAGGGAGAAGGCTGTAGGAAGATCTTCGGAATCCTCAAGAGCTTCTTTATTAGATTCAGACGTGGAATCATCAGAAGTGTGTAGGATTGAAACGTAGGTGGCTGCAGATTCGGAAACTATGTCTTTTATTAAACGATCCAGAAGTTCTGCACCATTTTTAACGGAGAGTTCTGAGTCTGCTCCTAGCTGTTTAGCGCCGTTAGTTTGAAAGTCGACTTAGCGGGTTTCTACAATTTGACTTGCCTTGCATAAAGCGTCGAATATGTCATTAAAATAAGGTAAAACTTCACCTTTTGCCACTTTGGCAATATTGTACATACTTTCGCACGCATAATACCTTACTCGAGCATCTTGGTCAGTGAAGCAGGCAAGGACTGGCGGCACAATTTCGTCAAGATATCTTGCAAGGTCCTATGAAATATGTCAGTTTGGTGCATGTACTACCAACAAGAGTCTGCATCATACCGGTCCTAATGCGATAGCAGCAGCAGCCAGACCAATGAGACCGCCATTTCTGGCATGCGGCTGATGGACGGCGTAAGCATAATCGTTACACAGTTGTTGAATGATCTTTTTGATTCTATCAAACTCCTTGGCTGCAGTAAGATCACGAATAACCCGTTCAAGACTGTAGATATCCGTCAGTATATTATTACATATGGAGATGTTCGAAAAGGTTTGAAGGAAACGATATTCAAAACTTACTCTAACGCGCCGACTTTCCGCTTGTCATAAAGCTTATCATTTAGAGCACGCTGTATACTTTGATCCATCTTGAGTTACTGATGCAGTCAAAAGTTCATGTTAGCTGAGAATACTCTGCTCAATGACACTCCTCTCAGTCTTTCCTTCTCATATCGCAAAGCAAAGTATAATGGCGAAGAAAGTGGATAGGTAGGTGGATAGCTAGCTGGAATGAGGAGATCACATGAGTGAATTGAATGGTGGGTGCACCGTGAGAGTCTTTATTCACAAAAGAAATGGGACCAATAAATTGAAGGCGGTCAGATATCCCGATTATCCTTCTCCCAGTTATGAATGAGGGGGCGAGTGTATATTTGATTGTATTGCAAGAGTTTTTGTTTTGCGGTGTGAAGAAATTGGTTGTTTGCTTGAGGCTGTGGTTGTGGATCTCAAGTTGCAAGACGAGGCAGGAAAGCTTGATGACGAGGATCCGTGATCTTCAGTAGTAAGAGAAGGGTCTACCCAATCAAAATGCGTGTTTCTTTAAGGTTATGAGAACAAAATGATATAGATTTATCACAACTGCGATCAATCATTTCTTTCTTCAACAACAGTAACGAAGTTCGATCAGAGATTTTAGAAGGAAAGAGATATGCCGATATACTTACATACAAAGTAATTCACTCAAAACTTACCTACTAGTTATTATCACATTCCACAGGAGAATAATATCTAGGGAGGTGGTAGATTCAACATTGAATTGTTTGCTTTCCCTGTTTGTTGCTATCAGATTATGTAAGCTTAAAGGCCCTCAAGCAATTCGAACCAGTCAAAACGGGCCGAAGCGCAACGGATAATGGCCGAGCGTCCACGTGATCAATGCATGAGGAAGAAGATCAACCTCTCGAGGCGACGAGGTGGCTGATGATATTAACATTTCATAACATTCAATTATCAGATTATGTGTAGGATTTTATATTTTGTTGAAGTCACTGTTTTAAATTATCCATACTCTTAGCTGAAAGCAGGTAATGAAATGTCACTATAATACAATGTCACCTTTTTACACCCATGAAGTCAAATTCGTCGGAGCCCTCATCGCAAGCATTACATCAAATGCTAAAGTATAAGTTTAGGTTGTATTGTTTGCCTTGGCTTCTTCCATCATGTCCAACGTTGTAAAATCACATCAGCTGAGCTGCCCAAGCATGGGTATTTGACATTTCAATTCCCTTATTCCGTATCCAATTGCCAATCTAGTAACGAATACGAAAGCCCAAGGAGAATACGTGTTTCAAGACGAGGAAGATCCCTCGAAAAAAAAATTGGAAAAATACAACACTATGGCCAAGCAGTTCAATCTGAGGCATTTGACCTCCCCTGACAACCTTCAAGCAACATTCAACATTCAGCAGTCGCCTCCAACCAGCCCCACTTGTTTGCATGACGAGCACAAACGGTTTCCATGGTGCAATAGAGGCATTGCTCAACTCCAGCGCCATGCTCCTGTTTATCCCGTGGAGAGGTCTTATCTGTCTGAGTATTTTCATAGCCAGTCGATGCACCATGCTCCTGTATCTGATCTTGCATCCCCCTATCTCACGTAGCCTGAGATTGAGCATGGCGTTGGCTGTTGCTATGACCCGCTCGAGCTGATCTTCTCGCGAATCCTGACTTAACAATGCTTAGTATTTTAGTTGCAGCCTGGTCGACCCCCACAAAACTTACTCCAGGGTGTGCCTTTGCAATACGTCGAGCAGCCTCGGGTGTCATGCGGCGATTGCCCATTTTGAAGGTTACGGAATTCGATAATGAGTGGTCGATAGCTAGTGGATTCGAAGTTCTGGTACAATGTAGATAGTATGGGTTCGAAATATTGAGGGACCTGGATCCACTGATGCAATGGCGTGTTGAGAATATATGTAGGTTTTGCTCGATATCATAAGTAGAATCTTGTAGGCAGAGAGTTAGGAGCTGTGTCTGAATTTAGAAGCCTGATACAGCATGACTCGGAACTCCGCGTTTGCTTTTCTGTCTACTCTTTTTGCAGCCTTAAAACACATAAATATGCCTCAATTGGCAACTTTTGGGCGAGCCTGATGCTGTATCATATTCCTATGGCAATCCCATTCGTTCGCCTTCTATTATAAAATGTACTTGTCATACATTACTTGGGCTGGTGCGTGTGCGGAAGATGGCTCCACGGCTTCTTTGATTTCCGTTGAATGATAGCAGGGGACACTCTTTGGACACTGGTTTAGGTTCCAAGTCCATCATGTCGGGCTCGTTACCGTCTGCACACTCAAGCCCTTCTCCGCATCCTGAATGAAATTCTAGTGGTTCCGGGTAGATTGCCGCACTGCATATCCCGTAAAAATTCGGACCGAGTGTCCGAAAAGAGACATGACGATAAGTGATCACAAAAAATGGGCTGATACAAATGTTCTGGGGACAATCATATCTTGAAAGACTCTAATGCAATGGGATGGACATCTGCAATCGCTTGCAGCATGCAGGGTCTATCGCGAAACGTTAGACAATGACTGGCTATGGAATCGAGAAACGGGATCATACAGTCCCTGGTAATATATCAATGCATGGAAAAGCGGTGTTAAAATTGCGATTCACCGCTCCTTGTGATCAACCAAGTGATATAATGCGGGTAAATAAGATCTCTATTGCAGTTACCTTGGGACGTATCTAGTGCCCATGAAGAATATCACCCTTTTCTACTATACTCTTTTGGCATTTAGCAAGGATCGCAGCTTGCCTACCAACTTCTTCCAGCCTACCAATGACATCTTTATTGCCATCCACAAACCCGTAGAGTGCGTAGGGGATGCCCACGTCGTTGCAGAATTCTAACACAAGCTTCTGAGCACGGCGAAGATTGTGTCTAGGCATCCTAGGGAAAAGATGATGGATAGCTTGAAATTGAAGCCCTCCATGGAAGAAGTCCAGCCACTGCGGACAATCGATATCCATGGTCGTGCGGAGCATCTTCTGCGGGAAAGACTCACGTGGTCCAAGCTCTGAAGTGCTCATAGAGAAATGTGAAAGAGTTATCTGGGCATGAACTGGCATGGTAACCACATGACTGACCAAGACGAAGAGAACTCTGGCACCGTTTGTAGGAATACCTTTGTAGACTACTCCATAACCAAACCATGTCCAGAAGAAAATCTGACCTGTAATCTCTAGCCATCTTTGCCACCATGCTGGACCTCTCTTTGGCCCAAGGCCTCGAAGAAGATATTCCCAGGACAAGCGGTAGAGATTGAATCGGCCAAAGCACAGGATTACATAGTAATAGTATGATTGGTACGGAAGCAGATATTGCGCGAATACGTCGTACTCCAAGCATTTTTCATAGAAGGTTGAGGTCAGAGATTCCAATAATCTGTGTGTGACAGCAAAAAAAGGGATATGTTGAATATCTGGGTCATGCTCGGGTGAATTTGTCACAATGTGATGGACATTATGATTGCGTTTCCACCATCCAAGTGAAAGACCACCGATGAAGTCTGCAAGTCCAATACCGATGAGAGAGTCAATCGTAAAGTTATGAGTAATACCCATGTGGCCCGCATCATGCACTGTGAACACTAATTGATGCCATAGACAACCCAGGAACAACCCACTTGTCCCATACCAGCCCCACTTAAAGAAAATGACTGCCATAGAGGCAAAGAAAGTATAACGACAGCATTCAATGGCGTATGCAGTGTAATTACAGTCATACAGGCCTTCCGCACGCATCCGTTCATCCAATAAACGGTACTTTTGGACGATCTCTTCTTGCGTATCCGGATCAAGGGAAGGATATTTGGCGTGATCTAAGTCAATTTGTTCTCGAGTCAAAGCATCGAAGTGTGACATGCCATCGTCCAGGTCAGGGGCAGAGGATATGGAAGAGGCGGAGGATACGGGGCGATCGTCTTTAGACGGCCCTCTTCTGCGTACCTCTGGGAAATCTTCATCGAATGTAGGCGAGGGGAGTCTTGAGCTATCAGAGCTCGCTCTCTCATCGAACGTATTATTATCTTCTTCGGAATCGTCTGACATGCCTTCAACATAGCTCCGAAACTTTCCGTATTGTATCGGGGGAACAAAATTCTTCCAACGACCCTCCACTCTACCAATTTGGTATTTGCTCATGAATGCTCTCGTTTCTGCTGAGTGAAGGCTATAAAGGACTTGTTAGTCTGGAAGACTGTGCAAGTGTGAGACAGATACTTTACGTACGCATTTACTTCATCTGTTGCATCTCTGCCTATCATATGCTTAATAGCCTTGTCTCCGCCAGGATGGTATTTCATCCATGCATCTACTTTGAGTACGGCCTGATCAACAATAACAATAGACCTGCCATCTGCGATGAGACCTTCGATTTGTCTTCGAGATATAACCTTCTCCTTGGCGGCGGCTGCCATGGCTTCAAAGGAAGACATTGGAGAACAATTCTTCCTTGTGGTGGATGAGAAAAAACAGTACAATGGCAAAGAAATTGTAGTGACAGTGAAAGCAATCAATTGATGCTCCAAAACAGGTTGCGTGATAGAATCATTCAATAATTTTGATTATATTTTGAACAAAGTTAATGGTACCAAGTCTAGCACGTACCTAATAGTGATCGTTAGAAACTTGCGGTGTCACTAGTGGTGACAGTCCTTTGAGCCAGTGGGGGGCTCGGATCTCAATCCCTAATCCTACAGGGTCCAAAAGGCCATTGCTCAGTAGCGTTTCGTATTAATAAGTGTTTCAAAGTTGCAACCACAAATGATGAAGTTCAACATCGCTATTAATTAACAAGTTATCAATTACCATCATCCATTCATTCTAGCACTTTGTGGACTCATTTTATATCACGACAATTTTGACGGATATAACTTATAGTGTCTAGAACAAACTCCATCTCAAAAAAAGACGCTCTTTGATGGTCATCTGAAAGTGCAGATAAGTCGACACTCCGTTTCCGTTTATATTTGTAACGAAGTGGGCTTGGAAAGCTCCCAGCCCTAGTTAATTGTCTACAAATCAAGAGCTGTCATGAGAACTAACACAAACATTGTTGATCATCTCCGTCCATCACTTCTGATTGCAGTGTGAGTGAGAACGAACTCACGGAAAGCTCACTGCCGAGCAAGTGTTAGCAACATCGCTCGGCGGCGACATTGACCGTGGCGTTGACGGTGATGGCCTATAATGCAAACTCGGTCTTCGTTCAAAGTTCATCACAGGTGCTCCATATGCGATAATGGGTCGATCTCTTATGGAGTTTCTTTTCCTATTGGGCTCTCTTCTACTTGCAGTGTGACTTGATCTTTGGTAGCACCGGGGAAGTCTTCATTGTGACCTGTTGTGGTGAGTCGAATACCCTCATGCTACATCGAATGATTTCACGGAAGTTTCTAGAAATAGTATATATTTCAGCTGTAGTCTACTGCATCAACTAGTACCATTGACATGTCGGTATTGTCACATTCCGGATGTAATTTCCCTTTTGGACATATGTGTTATCTACTGCTTAGGTAGAAACATGCAGCAGCAGTCGTTATGATCATCTTATGATATCTAGTGCCAAACAGTGCCCCTCGGGATTGTGCTTGTGGGTTAGGGTTCTGCTCTTTTTCCGCATTCGCACACCGAGGTCAAGTCTCGCATTCCAAGGCGGTTAGAGGCCTTTCCTATGTCCCATTGAGTTTGAGATTGTCACGATCTACTTCTTCACACTCTCCTTTAAGTCAAATTCGGCAATCAGTGTCTTCCGGAAGGCCAATCGCTTTTGATCCATAAGTGACATTGCATGCCATGAGGAGGACAAGGTGTGTTTGCTTGACTCCTTAGCTTCTGCGTAACTTTAAGTGTACCTATTAGAAATCTCCTGATGCTCAGAGAACAATTGCAAACACGGCATAGATTACGATATAGAACTTCCTTCGTTGTTATCTCCTAATATTCCCGGTTGCACGGGGGTTGTAAGCCTCGTTCTCTTGGGCAAAATTTTCGTTTCACAGCGAGAGGGTATCCTCCTTCCCCCCAAGTATAAAACATTCGTCGAATATCCATCTCATACATAAAAACAGTCAAGAAACATTCTAGCAGTTTTACCAAGTCACTAAAGCAGAATTGCTCCGATCCAACTACCACAATGAATCTCACTACCTGCCTCCGCAAATACAACCCCAACGTCTTCCGCCAACTAGACCCCTACTCCGACCCAATCTACCTACAATCACCGCACCGACCCCAAACAGCCCTCGCACACTCCCTAATCATCCCACGCACCCATCCTTCCTACAACTCTACACACATCTACAACGACTGCCAGTTCTGCGAAGATGATCCACGCACCGGTGCACACTACTGTCGTACTTGCATCGAAGCACAATACTATGCCCTGCAATCTCAATCACATTCCCAACCGCAAGTCCAAGATATGTACTACACCGTATGCGAATGTCCGCATTGCGATAGCATTTCAAATCCGTCCACCTTCACTTCAAGAACCTATTCTAGAGGTAACGGCACATATTCAAATTTAAATATAGAACCGGTTTCTCAACAACTGTAAGTTCAATTTTCACCTGACGATACAATCGAGCTATATGACGTGGCTGACTGTCGATGGCAGGCTTAATGCAGGAAGATATACACATGTATCTCCCAATAGACTCGGACGAAGTCCTTGTAGAGACGTGGGTTTACTTGCTTCCAGTTCCTGTTTAGGCGCTCTAGGTGGCTTGGGTGGACCCAGTTTTGGAAATCTCGGTGCTCTTAGCGGGATTGGCGGGGTAAGAGATATGAGAGATACAAGGCATCATGGTGGAAGATATGGGTTGCAGAACAACCGGCTCGGGATTGGATATCGGGTGTAGGATTTCGATTTTTTTTTCCCAATTATCATCAACATTTATTTTAGAGTTCGTAATGAAAGCCTGGAGAATCACGGGTAACAGGAAAGGAGTTAGTCAAAATTGATCAGAAAACTTTAGGTTTCATAGGTTATCGACGAGTGCTGCGCATGCTTTATGTAACCATATCTTACACGAATCACAAACTCAGTCTCATGCTTATGCTTATGCTAGCACCAATCATTAACAAATCACGCCCCCACAAGTTCTACCACGCTTCTAATAATGAACAGCCTTGCCATAGGTGGCCATAGCAGCCTCCTTAAATGCTTCCGCCAATGTCGGGTGTGCATGACACGTGCGTCCAATATCCTCACTTGATGCGCCATATTCAATGGCTAATGTAGCTTCCGCAATCATCTCTCCGGCATTTGGTCCGATGATGTGAACACCAAGGATTCTATCGGTCTCCGCATCGGCAAGCATCTTTACCATACCTTCAGTGTCCAAGTTGGTCTTCGCTCTTGAGTTTGCCGAAAATGGGAATGTTCCGATCTTGTACTTAGTGCCAGCAGCCTTGAGCTCCTGTTCGTTCTGTCCGACCCATGCGACTTCGGGATGTGTGTACATAACAGATGGAATGGCAGCATAGTTGACGTGGCCATATCCCTTCTTAATGTACTCAACAACGGCGACAGCCTCTTCCTCGGCCTTGTGGGCAAGCATAGGTCCGAAAGTGCAGTCACCTACAACTCGGATGTGTGGCAGCTTAGTCCGGTATTCCGAGTCAATGACTAATCTTCCCTTATCATCGGTCTCCAGACCGATGTTCTCTAATCCAAGACCTGCTGTGTATGGTCTTCGTCCAATGGCAACAAGTACGACATCGGCGTCAAGCTATACAAACTATTAGTGGTGTACATGCAGTGCTCAATAGGCTTAGCTTACGGTTTCTTCCTTCCCGCCCTTTGCAGCCTCGACTGTAAGCTTGACCTTCTCACCACTAACATCACCACCCATGACCTTAGTGTTTAGCTTGAAGTCAATACCTTGCTTCTTGAGGATCTTTTGCGATGATTTTGCGATCTCGGCATCCATTCCAGGTCCACCAATTTGAGGTAAGAACTCTACAACTGTAACCTTCGTACCAAGTCTTGACCAGACGGAGCTCATCTCAAGACCGATGATACCTCCACCAATAACAACCATGCTCTCAGGCACCTGCTCTAGCGCAAGAGCTCCGGTACTTGTAATAATTCTCTTCTCGTCAACCTCGAGTCCTGGAAATGGTGTAGCTTCACTACCAGTAGCGATGAGAATGTTCTTTCCAACAATAGTCTCTTCTCCACCGTCGGAAAGGTTGACCTTGACTTCGTGCTCGCCAGTAAATGTAGCAGTACCCTTGACGTAATTCACATTGTTCTTCTTGAACAAAAATTCAACACCCTTTGTAAGTCCGGAAACCGCAGTGTCTTTCGATTTCATCATTTGTTGCAAGTTGAGTTTGACATCTCCGACTTCAATACCTCGAGCTTTGGTGTCATGTAAAATTTGGTGGTAAAGATGCGAATTGTTGAGTAGAGCTTTCGAGGGAATGCAGCCGACGTTCAAGCATGTTCCCCCGAGAGTTCCGCGCTTTTCTATACATGTTACCTGCAAAAAATGTTAAGACGCTGCAGCAAAAACCCCTCTTGCCAAGCAAACCGTACTTTCATGCCCTCTTGACCAGCTTTGATAGCGGCAACATATCCAGCAACACCACCTCCGATGATAACCAAATCCTGCTCATCTTCTACATGTCAGTTGCTTCCAGCTCATGACATTGATCGGAATCTACTGACCAGCTTCAGTGGCATATCCTCGTCGCGATAGGTTTGCAATTCCTGAAGGGGCGACTATCTTGGGAAGGCTGATTAAGAGAAAAAAAGTTAGTACAGAAAACTTTCAACAGGAATTGAAGCCTGGCAGTTGAACTTACGAGGATTGTTGTCTGAAGGCAGACCTTACGGCCGCTCTGGGCACTAATAAACTGCGAAGCATTTTGTATGAAGGGTATTTTTATGCTATTCAACAACTTTTAACATCGCCGCCGTTTGTTTGGGGACCCGACGGACGAAGCGGATTGATCCGAGAATCACGTGGGGATTTTTTTTTAAACCGCGAGTCCCTGGCGCCGCTTGGCTGTGTCAGCTAGAAGCCGAAAAAAACTCAATTTGGCACTTGTGAGGTTTGTTTCGGTTTAAAAAAAGATACTAATCAAGCACTAGGTACTGATGTACAGTGTACACATAGGTATACATCAAGCAAAGCAAAAATTCATGGAAAATATAATGTTCGTCATTTCCGACTTTGTATGTCACCACTCATTGGTATTTATGTAAAAGCATGAGCTAGCAACAATTTTATAAGAGATGCGACCTTCTAACTCCCAATCCCATATCACCAACCCACTAGGCACGGGTATCTTCATTAAGCAAAGCCTGAAGTGTATCTCCAGCAACTTTACAACCCCATTTCACAGTATCCTTCTCATTTTTTCCTCCTGCTATATCCGTCTTGCCGACTACCTTCTTCAAGAAGTATTGTAGTCCAGTGATCATTTGAGGTGTATCCTTCACCCTCGAGAACAGATTTGCAATTGTCTTCTTATCTCGGCCGTCCTTCGATGCCTTTTGAGTTTGAAGTAGCATAGTGATAAAAAGAACCTCGCAGAACGTTTTCGTCTTGGCTTGTAAATAGCTAAGATTCAAGTTCTTGAGAACGTTAAGTCCAAGTCCACCCTCTGCCATCAATGTACCAAACATCTTGGCTAGATTGACAATGTGCCTTGTATCCAACTCTGTATCCTCTGCAAAATCGTCATCATCGTCGTCGTTTGTTTCCCCCATCTTCTTGAAAAGATCCCACAAACTGAATTGAAAGGCCATCTTGAGTTTCCTATCGCCGCACAATCTCTTTGCTATTAATGTATAGTACGGGTTGTACAACTTTTCCGCACCAGAACATTGTAACAAGACTTTCGGTATCTCAAGCTCTTGGACTTTTTTCAACTTCAACTTCATCAGCCGTAGATATGCGTCTTGATAATCTGAGGCGGACATGATGGTAATGAATACGGCTCGACGAATGTCCGTGTTCATACGTTGCTCTCTAGCAAGTTGAACTAGATCAGAAGTTCCAGCATCTACCTCTTGAACTTCTCTAGAGTTCCTAGCTTCCGATATGGGCTCTTCATCGTCTTCGGCATTACCTGCCCAGCTCGCACCAACCAACCACCATTTTCCCTTCTTATCCGAGTCTCTTATATCCTTGAGGCCTATCCGCAGGGGCTCACTAGCTTTAATACTCCGAGTATTTAGTGTCCCTAGTGTCTTCTTCATCCGAATTGTATGCTCTGAAGTGATGGCGGAGGCGACAGCACCAGTTTTCATTTTATTATTTTTGAGATCATTGATGGTTTCGATCATGAATTTTGTCCTCACTGACAACTTCTCTTCGCCACCTGCCTTTTGAACGGCAGGTCGAAGCATAGTAACAATATCCTTCAACGCTGAAGGGTCGTCTTGCCGTAGTTGAGGGCCTGAAATACGTACAATCTTCAATAGAAGTTCGGCATTTAGTTCTGATAGCGTATCTAAAAAGAGCTTGATGTAGTCGAAAATGAGATTGCTTCCCAATACTTGGAAATTATACATTTCTGAAAGTAAAGCTATCAGGTTGGTTGTTTCCTTGCTGTCAGGGATGGGTGCTGAGGAGCTTTGGTTGACTGACGCCACACGTGCATAGTGCTCATCAAAGAGCTCAACTACTCTCTGAATTACCTGAGCACCAAAATCCGTTCCAATAATCTTATAGATCGCGGCAATGAATCCGGCGGGGAGGATGATAAGGGTATCGGGTAAAGTCGTTGGTTCGCAAACGGAAGTCAGGAGTAGATCAATAAGGGTAGAAGTCATGTGTTGACGAGCATTGACCCGATATAATTTTTCTATCTCCCCAAGGAGGGAGATCAGATTGGCTTCTGTCAACCTGTTGACTAAACCTTGAGTTTGCCGTCGCAGCCGCACTAAATCCTCGGAATCTGAGGAAGACGCCTTTCGTAATGAAGGTGGGATGTATTTTCCAGAAGAAGCTGCAGTTGCAGCCACAGGTGCCACATAGGGATTTTCACGAATTTTTGGCTTCGGGGGAGCGTCTTCTTCACTTTCAGACCCAAATCCTTCAAAGTCGTCATCAGCTATATCCTCATCTCCAAGATCACTATCGTTATCACCAGAATCACTACCCATGGAATCAGGTTCATCCATTGAAATGTCAGACGCTTCGTCGTCATCATAATCATTCAGCATCTCATCGTCTTCGTCCTCTTCCTCCTCTTCATCCTCGGAAGTCTCATTGCCCCTTGCACGCTTTCGGGCTTCTGCTCTCTTACGTTCAAGCCAATCATTTGCCTCCGCCTTTCCTTTCTTTTTGAGCTGAACTTCTTCATCTTCGCTCTCGTCTAAAGCGTCGAGATCACCCAACAGCTCATCCAATCCATCTTCTTGGAATGACTTTGGCAGGCCCTTCTTCTTCCCTTTCAACCCTAATTTCTTCTCTAGTGCAGCGATCTCGTCATCGTCCTCGGCCAATTTATCCTTGACAGCCTTCGAAATATTCTTCCCAATCCGTGATCCAGAAAGAGTATCCTCTTCACGGGATGCCTTGTCTTGAGGTGGATCCGTTTTCTTTGTCGTTTTCAGTATAGATTTTGGTTTTGGGCTATCGTCTTTTCTCTTCTCGGGTATAACTTTTGCATTCAACGGTTCAATATCCTCATCTTCCTCATCTTCTTCACCGTCGTCATTGTGCCTGGCATGTTGCGACTTCAATCGCTTCTGAGGAGGAGGCCTGGATGACTGAGATCTACTTTGCTTCTTCTCTTGTCTTTCTGCTTTCCGCATCTCTTTGCGCCCAAGACGCTTGCGCCCCCGGCTCTCATTTCCACCACCGTCTGTAAATAATGGTAAGCATGTGAAGATATATCGTCGATGGCTAATATTTACCTTCGATTCCTAGTTGCTGAAGAAGACTATTGGGTAATTTAGGGGCTTTAGATTTCGGCGGCGCCATTTTTTTGATAAACAACAGAACAAAAGATCTAATGCAAATCGGTATCGATTTGAACCTTCGAGTCTGAAAAAAAATAAAACAAAGCGTTAAATCATAAAATGCAATAATAATGCGTTTCCCAAGGCAAAAAAGATTCGACGACCTTCAGACAGCGATAAGAAATTTTGAGCTTTATCAACTTTTTTTCCCCCAGCCTTGATGAAAATCTCAGCCTCGCGTTAGAAACTACCAGGTAGCCTGGTCCAGAACCCCACACATTTCACCACCCCACAATCATCAGTCACAGCTTAAAACAAGCATCATAACAGCAATCCGCATCATGGTGTCACATTTAAGTAATGATGAGGTATGCTTATATTGATCCTGTTAATACGCTTCTGGGCAGATATTAACAATTCTGCACAAATAGTTTTTCTCAAAACTCGGTTCTCTCTTTGATTCAAGACGGGAAAAAGACCATGGCTCTGTCACCCTAACACAGAAATGTTGTAAGTACTTCTCTACACACTTGGTGTTCTGCAGCAGCACCTTCCTACATGTGTCAAGATTTCTTCTGACTGCCAAACCAGTTAGTTATGGCCCAGCTTCCCATACTTCCATGGCCATGGTACCAGCCGCCGACGCCCTCAGCGATATCCTCACTGCCCAATTCCCAGACCTCTCACGCGATGCCCCTATGCCACTCCTCATCCGCGCCACAAATTCCAAAGGCAAGTTGAAGCGCGGAGAAAAGATAAAACTATCCACTGTCGTCCAACCAGATCAATTAGAAGCTTTTTTTGCTAGATATGCAGAAATATGTAAAGGTGGCATGGGTGCGCTTAAGAAGAGAGATAAGAAACAGGCGAAGGAGAAGCTCAAGGCAAAGAAAAGAAAGATGGGCACTACGACTGTTCCTCCAGGAGAAGAGAAGAAATGAAACAATGAAAGCTGGCTTTCGCTGGGGTTGTAGAAAGTCCAGTATGGAACATCGATACCCTGGGAGAGCAACCGAGCAGCATCAGGGGGTGGGGATTCTGTCGTTCAACATCACAGCATGGCGTCACATAGACGGAAATTGTTTTTGATTCCTATGCAAAGGTATATAAGAGGATAATATAATACCGAAAAAGGCATACAGGGCGTTTGTCCAAGATATCCATTCCCAAGGACTAAATACTACCGTTTATTCAAACTCTGGGCCATACATTTATAGACATCTCATACGCTGTGTTACAGTGGAATCAGTGTTCCGACAGTTTCTTAGCAATGCGAAAGTCTCGCATACGACTGGTGTTCGAAATATTTCTCCATTGGTAGTCAGCTAGTAACTTGTCACATAGTTTACTTCTTCAGGCTATCTTAACGTGCTCTATTTCCATTGATTAATACACAGGCAAAGAATTCCTTTTCTTAAGCTCGAGAATTGTTACAAATCTGATCACTAGCCCATATCCCTTTCCACATATGGACAATCCATTTAGTTCCATCAAAATATCTCCCATTCCACAGCAGGCCTTTCAACGCCTGCCACTATGATATAAACTCAGAAGCTGAACACCATTGACTACTCCAATCATATAAGGATCCTCTTATAGTTCAAATCCATCCCGATCTATATCATCGTCAAGAAGCCCAGGTCAATGCTGGACTAACCATCCCTTGCCAAACACCATAAAAAGAAAAAAGAAACACTTTGAAAGGACCATGCCTTGGAAATACAAAGGAAGGAAAGAAAAAAATGGATAACAGAGAAAATATCAAGATCATGCTGTGTAACAGAGACACAGAGCCGTTCTAAACTCTGGAACATGTCGGTTGATGTGCGAATATTTGTTAAGTACACTTGGTCGATTAATGATAATAATAATAATGATAAAATAATCCTTATGGGGGAGTAGCGATACGTGAAGCCGAGATAGAAGCAGGAGCAGACATACTAGCTATCAGAGCAGAAGCTAAAGCCTCATCGGAAATTGCTGTATGAGTATTTTGAGGGGCATGCTGAGCAATATGCGCTTCTGACAAAGCAGGACTTAGCAAATAATTTGGCTGTGGTGAAAACCGATCCGTTGTCATTTGAGGAACTGGTGCAACCGGATCTATATGTGTATGTGTATGTGTATATGTATGTGTACTAGCACCCGCTGTCGCAAAATCATTGTTTGTATCCCGAGACGGAAAATGTGTCAAACCTTCCTCAAAGGGAAAAGGTTCAGGAGTCAGATTGAGGCCATGATGACTCTGATCCATACCGGCGGTAAAACAGGCAAATGCTTTCTATTCAGAGATTCATTATTAGTATCTTCTCATATATGGGTCATTGTTTAAGGCATACCTCAGATGTACCCAAATTAGTATCGGACTTCACTCCTTCACCGCCGTCGTCAATCTTAGATTCACCATGTGATTCGTCGTTATCGGATTCGATGGATTGGTGGAGTTCTTGTTGTTGGAGGTGTTCTTGTTGCTGGAGATGTTCTTGTTGCTGGAGATATTCTTGTTGTTGGGGATGTTCTTGATTTTGGAGATGTTGGAGATATTGGTGATGTTGGAGGCGTTGGAAATGCTCTTGATACTGGAAATCTTCTTGATGTGCCATCGTTGAGCGCTCGAATTGTTGATAGTTCGCCGTGTTTTCTGCCATGCTGCCGCCGTATTGACCGTATTGAGAAAGCGCTGCTTGATTTGCCAAGAATGACTGTGTGTCACCGGACAGCGCTGCAAAGGGGTTATTGATATCGTCACCAATATTCATACCGTAGCTAGGCGCGGTAGTATCTCCATGAGGAGTGGGTGCTAACTGCCAGGTAGGCTGGTTGTATGAAGGTCCAGCAATATCAGGATGGAATTGCCCTTGTTGAGCTGCGTTATTGCTGTCGATGGGAAACTTGTATTGGTTCGTTCGAGACTCTTCCTTGATGGTTGCAAGCTTTTTCTTCTTACTGCCTCCTGGCGGCCTGCCTCTTCTAGGCTTGGTAATACCTCCTCCAGTACCAGCAGCAGCAGGAGCAGCAGGAGAAGTGCGACGACGCTTCTTAGCTGGAACCGCAGGTGCATCTTCAGCAGATTTATTCTTCCCTTTACATGCACTTCCTGTTCCCTCACATCCTTCGCAATCCCTAACACCATCACTGCTAGCGCCACAGTACCAACAGTTCCCATAGAGCTCGGCTTTCCTACGTCGTTTTTCAGGGTTCCAGTCCTTTGGACCCTCAACCACAAATGCATTATCGATAGGTGGTCTCCGAGCTTCGTAATCCTCTCCCTCAAGCCTCTCTTGCATGGCTCGACATCTCCAGCATGTACCTTGCAACAAATCCAGTCCCACTTCATCTCTGGGGCGATATATTATGCAATAGTCATCGGGACACTTTCGCAGCGGCCAATCCTGGGGACAGCTGCTATCAAGTTTGGTGACTTCGACGTAGATTCGGCCGCAGCAAGTGTATTGAAAAGGGCGTATGAAACACATGGTTTTGTGATGGTTAGTGATATTGCATAGGATGTGAAAGTGTATGAGTGTGATCGTGGTCGTTACTCGCGTTGCTATGATTCTGTTAATATTCTTAAGGGAAATAATATTACTGTGGAAGTTCAGTATTAGTTGTACATTCACAGTCGGAAGTGATCAAAAGGGGGAGATTTCAAGAACTATAAATATGACCAAGACCGAAGTCATTTTTGAGGAAGTGAATAATCTGATGTGATGCAGAAGCTGATTGATGATTCACCACCATTTTCTAAATATGAAATTCAGGGACTCATGTGATTATGTTATCCTCGAGTATTTGTGATTGTTTATGAGAACCAACAAAGTGTCAATCTGCACTTTTGACAATGCTGGATTGGCATACACTTTATGACGTTGATTTCTGGCATTCACATTCACAAATATACAGGGAAAGGGGCTGATCTCAAAATAGACTTATATTGCTGTGGGTGTCAAGTGTCTAATGACCTTGTACTAGCTACTAGATCCATTTTGCGGGAGAAGACTTTTGAATAAAAAAAATCGAAACGGCAAACTGCATAACTATCCACCTCCAGATTCGCAACGAAATAGTAGAGCGATTCCACGATGGGCGAATGGAACCATCCATCCATGCAACATAGAATTCTCAGCCTCCGATGACTTTTTGGGGGTTAGGTCTTTTGAGTACACATAAGGAAATCGAGCGTAGGAAAAAAGAAGAATGTGTTGTAACATGGGCGAAATATGTCGTGAAATGTGCGCAGACCCAGGGCTCACATAATTTGATCTTGTGTTAGGTGAGTAACTTCGGTGTCCATGGCATCACCAGCCCCACCGGGGATTTGGTACTTGACGAAGCTCAAGCCAAGAGGACGGCCTCCGTATTGATAACCTGAGAATTTTTCAATTGCGGTATCGGCATTCTCCGCGGAGTCAAATCGAACAACACCGGTACCACGGGATCGACCATTAGGCTCATATTGAATCTCGGCCTGCTCGACTTTGCCAATGGTGGTGAACAGCTCAACAAGATCCTCGTTGCTTGTGGACCATGGAAGCTACATTGCGCGTTAGCTTGTATAACAGCAGATGATTAAGTGAAACTCACGTTGCGAACATAGATGATCTCACTCCTCTCGGTGCCAGCAGTGGCGTGATCGGTGAAAGGATTGGGTGCAGCTGCGGGAGCTCCAGCACCACCATCGAATCCACCAGCAGCCCCAGCATAACCTCCTCCAAAGCCGCCACGACCTCCTCCAAATCCACCGCCAAATCCGCCACGACCACCGAAGCCTCCACGTCCTCCAAATCCGCCACCGAAACCTCCGCGACCGCCAAATCCTCCGCGAGGACCGCCGAATCCTTGAGCACCTGCAAAGCGATCTTCACGGACTTCAAGGGGACGACCTTGCCAATCATAACCATTGAATTGCTGAATGGCGTTACGCGCGTCGTCAGGGGATTCAAAAGCAACGATACCGGAGCCCTTAGGGCGCCCATCAGGACCAACATGAACATCTGCACGAACGACGGCACCGTTTCGGGCTATAAACATTGATCAACATCTTCATTCGTATTTCTGTGTTAGTGCAGGAGGGAAACATACCAGCGCCGCGGAATAGATCCTTCAGATCTTGCCATCCAACGGTGTAGGGAAGCTAGATCACCAAGTCAATATTTTCGACAACATTAGTATCTAAGGGAAAGATAGATGGGAACAAACGTTGGAGACGTAAATTTGACGTCCTCCACCTCCAGCCCCACCGCCAGGAGCCATGCCACCTCCGAAACCACCTCCGAAACCACCACGACCTCCTGGTGGACCGCCGCCTTCGTAACCGCCGCGGCCTCCTGATGGAGTACCGGTGAATCGAGGTTCGGCCTCACGATCCTGTTACCATAATTAGTAAACTTCGAGTCCGCTTTGAACGGCACAGAAATTCTGCGTACCTCTCGAACGTAAACGAGTCTTCCCATAAGGTTCTGGTTGGAAAGAGTGTTGACTGCCTGTTGAGCTTGCTCCCTCGTAGCATATTCTACAATGCTAGTTCGAGTTAGCATTAGAGATCATTTAAGCCAAGGTTGTTACTTACCCGCATCCCTACAATACCCGCGGAACAACGTCCCAATCCGTCAATCCAACATTCCATCAAAATCCAAGAGAAAAAGAAAAGATTCAAAGCCAATCACGTATAGGCGCCCACCTTCGACATTCCATTTGGAAGCAATAACACATCAGCAAAGAGGACCTCTCCAGCTAAAGAAATCGAACCCCGGTTAGCCCATTTCCCCAACTCCAACCTCCATTATCGAACACTGACCAGATCTCATAAAGTCTTTAAGATGATGCCACTTAACATCGTATGATAAATTGCCGACATAAACACGACGGTCTTGTTGCGAAGATTCTCGTAGACTGCTCATCATTTGTTCTCTAGCCGCAGCTCTCTCTTCGTATGTCCTATGTGGTTGTCCACCGTAAGCTGACCCTCCAGAACCACCTACACCAGCAGCACCCGACATTGGGGATCGAGATCTGCGATCGTTTCTGCGATGTTCGTCACGGCTGCGAGAGCGACTGCGAGGAGAGTATGAACGACGGCGTTGAGTGCGTCCTGGACTACGAGAGCGTTGTCGACGAGGTGAACGAGATCTCTCTCTCTGTGCAACGTAAGCTTCGTTAACCATCAGGTAGAAGAGATAATCAAGAAAAGTTTATTATGCGAGAAATTTTGTAGATGTGGGTTAAACCATCAAGGTTCTTACGCCATCAATTAGGAAAGGCTCCCACAGAAGCGCACTGGCGCGTTGCGATCAACGGGATTTTACGATTTGGTTTGCGCGTGAGATATGAGATGCCATAAGCCGAAGGCTCATAGGCTTTCACAGATGCCCTAAATTGCCGACGCCCAGCTTTTTGTAATATTACAAAGAAATAGCTATTGATAAGGGAGAAGAAATTCAACATACTTGTGGTCGATAAGAGTCGTCAGCTAGATCAAATAATAGATGTTAATAAAATGTACCAAAAGGAAGTAGGATTGGGGTGGGGTGGTTTTGTGTAAAGTTTAAGGAAGAGTTGAAGGAAGGTCGGTCGACTCAATGACGTGAATAAAGCAAGACAAAAAAAAGTGAATAAGGAAGAAGGTGAATGGACTAATTGGGGATGGAGGGGAAGGTGTTGGGGGAACATACCCATTGTATCTATGTGAATGAAGTATTAAGGTGATAGTAGAATCAGGAGGCTGCTGCTGCTCAATGCTCTAATCTGCAGGTTGGAGACGAAATGGACTCCAAAGTGATTGCGCACAAGGATTCTATGGACTAAGTAAGGGCGAATTAAACGCAACGTTTAATTGATGGGAGTCGGTAAATAAAGTGAACCAGTGAAGCTTCGTGAAGAATATTCGATGCGGCTTTAGGGGACCCGTAAGGGAGAAGAGCTATAACAAGGGCAGAATGACACAGCGTCTCTTTTTTTTCTTCTTCCTGCGGCAATGTTCGTCAACAAGGGCTTTACCAAAAAAGGATTGTGATTGAATGTCAAGGATTTGTTCTGCCTATTTCGAACGCGTCTCTCTGCCGTGACAAAGCTCGACGGAAGCTGATGGATGGATTGGGAGGACAAGACTTGGAAAGGTCTTGAGGGGGGATGAAATATAAGCTATAGGATGAGAGCTTACCTGGTTGCTTTGACCAATAGTTGGTGGGAAAGGCTGAGATACAGATATTTTGATTTATTTCTCTCTTTTTTCCCTACCCGACTAGATGGCTCACAAGGGTGGCACTTCTTCTTCAGGTAATACAGAGAAGAAGGATGGTGTGTGAGTGGTGTGGGTGGTGTATGTGGTGGATGTGGTGGATGTTTTTTGATGGATGGGTGTGAGAGTGTGAACGCGATGTAATGGAAAATAGCGTGCAGGAAACTGTTGCTCTTCGGTTGATAGCCGGTAGTTGCTTCCTCTATCAATTTTTGGCCCCCAGCTGAAACATAATTATCAATCCATGCTGCTCAAATAGGTAATAATAGCTTAATGCGGCAATTGGTAAGTGTGTCATTAGTAAATAAATATTCTTAAATATCACAGGAAGTATATGTATCGAATTCATTCATTCACCAAGCATTTTCTTACATTTTCCTACATTTTCTTACCCTTTAATTATCTGAATCTTATCCTCATCTTCATTCTCTTAGCATATTCTAGATGTGGTATTATACGAAGATATACCTTAGACTCACATGCATTGATTGATCTTGGAGTTTTTCCGTTCTTTCTAATGCAGCAGCAGGCTTCTCGCTGGGTACATTACCATTGGATTTGCTATCCTGCGAGTTCAAAAACAAAGGGACTCATTGACCTATGGAGCAAAATCATGCGAACCACTTATTTTTGTTCTCCACCCCTTCAGAGTCTATCTATGGATGTGGATCGTACCATTGCGGACTCCTTCACACCTCCAGCGTCTAGCGAAATTTCCGGACTACAACGCGGAAACATGAGCTCCATCATAGTTTAATCAATGGATGACTTGAAGTGGACTTGAAGTTTTCAAGAAATATGACAACCCTCGTTGTACGGTGCGAGTGCTCATATACATGTAATCCAATGGGCACAACGTATCTTCCTCAACTCGTTCTCTCAATTGTTGATTTACTTATTTCTATCCTTCAGACTGAAATCGCCCCATGCCCCCCAATTGAATCGAGTGTAGTATGAATCTCCAGGACCGCCTCGGCTTGATTTCGTTTTTACCTAATTGCCTTTACATATCATGAAATTCAACAATCTCCAACCCAGCTCACAAATTCTCCAATAGGTACAGTACATACAGACCCCCGCATAAGTCACAGGAACAGTTTAGTCGACGGGAAAGATTAAATCGACCAAGGTTGGTTCGAACTTATTCAAATCAGGAAGCTCAAACCTTTCTCCCAGATGGAGCAGACCAATGGTGTCTTTTGAACTAGGAGTAGGTGTCTACCAATTGTTTCCTTCTTCTCGATCTACAACCAGGGTCTCGCACACAATATGTGCGATCTCATATCGTGCTTATCCAATTGCACAAGCTACAGAGATGGAGATGCAAATACAAAATGCAATATTGCCTGGGCCTATGGCCCTCGGCGAACGTCCTCATGAAACACGCCCAATATATCAATTAACGTATGAACAAGGAGAACGAAAACAGATTCTCCCCACTTGTTGGGTTTCTCAGCCATCTATGCATGCTTACTACCACAGTGGGAGAAACGTTGAATCGGAGGTCCTAAACGCTTTGATTCCCAAAAAATTGATGACCTGCAGCTGAATCTGCAACGATACCTGGCCTTAGCTGGCTCGCCGGGCGGAAGCTCTTCCCCGTAGCACGACAGAATCAAGTTGATATGTCCACGAGACGATGCCTTAACCACAAAATGTCATTCCCAAGCTCGATTTCAGCTGCTCTGGTGTGAAAGAACAAAGATCAGAATATAGGAATAGGTTCATTTCCCCTGATATGTACAATTGTATGTATACATATGCCCGTTCGTATCTTGCAGAATAAGACCAAAAAATTTCATGCAATACGATGTTGCCGTTGCATCCCTAGGGGAAGGCCCACAGTCCACACTGCAATGTATTTTTGACCGAGTCCAGAAACACCGAATGGGATTCCGTGCAGGCAAAAAAGATTTCATACAAGGAATAGCAGAAAAAAGTGTGACGAGAAGGTCAAAACATGACATATATGTTGTGAGAGGCAAGTAACATTTCTTACTGCATATAGAAAAGTGGACCGAAGGTAATCAACAGGGCATTTGCACCAAACAGAGTGATTAACACGAGAAGAACGGCGAGTCTAACCTGGAATTGCTCATCTCCTTATTAGCAGCAGCCCAAATTCTTCATTTGCGAGGCTCTTCGGCTGTAAGAAAAAGTAGTAGGGGAGCTTACTTCAAGTACTCTCTCTGTACAGAGTACAGAATAGAGTGTAGAGTTCATGAGGGCAAATTTAACGGAATAAGCCGGGGAAGGGCAACTGTTGGTCCATGCTGAAGCTATTAATCTAACACCACCAAAATTTATCCTCACAAACCACCTCCAAAATGTCATTGCCCACAATTAGACTTCTGCCCCGCCATCTACGGCCTCTCGCGCAGCAATACAATCGCGCAATCACAGTTTCTATTTCCGCCAAATCTTACCATTCATACGATCGCCCATCTTCCTCAGATTCTCCCTTTCCACCCACCGAATCAAGCATACTCCGCGCCTCCCTCCCACATATACCTGCCCATGGCTTCACCCTCAACACCCTTTCTCTCGGCGCCCAAGAAGTCGGCTATGTACCTGCCGCCACCAATATTTTCCCAAAGGGAGCATTCAGTTTAGTACACTATCATCTGTATACGCAAAGATTAGCTTTGAAAAATCACACAGAGCATATTGCTCCACCACCAGAAACCGAAGGAGGGGAACCACCAAAAGGAGTGGGAAAGAGAGTTAAGTCTTTAACATGGGAAAGGTTAATGGGAAACAAAGATGTAATTCACAAATGGCAGGAGGTCCGTATCCATTCCTTACTCTAGACTATCACCACATTCCACAAGAAAACTCAATCCACCTCCAAATAACCTCACAATCCCGTGCTTCCTACCCTCAAAACCCCCATATATAACCACACCCCACTAACGCCCCCGTCCCCATCCCCTAGGCCCAAACCCTCCTCACCCTCCCCACTAATCTCCCCACCTCCCTGCGCGAACTCCACGCCCTCTCAGACGAAATCTGGTTTCTGTCCGGCGACACCGCAGTCGATAGTTCCTGGTACACGAAGCGAGCCTCGCTCTCTACCATCTACGCCGCTACCGAATCATACATGACGACTGATAGATCCGAGGGTTTTAGGGATACGCGAGAGTTTTTAGATAGGAGATTTCGGGATTCGCAGGTCTTGGGTGGTCTGGTGGGGGGAATTGGTCAATGGGTGGGTTTTACGGCGATGGCGGGGATTAATGTTTTGAGGAGTAAGGGGGTGAGGGTTTAGTGGGTGATATATCCAACAGGGGAATACACGTTTATTTCACTTGGCATGGAAGGGGAAGAACGGGAAAAAGTTATTAAGGTCATGTACGAGTATTCATACCCATATTCATGTACTTTTATATCAAAAGTTGCCACCCCGAGCAACCAAATGGTCAAGACGATACCTGGCTCATAGATCATTACACCACAAACGCCATAACTGTCGTAAGACATAGCACCAGAGCTTTCCCAACCATAAGCTACAGATCCCTGATCTTTCCACTCCAACGCCCCCTCAACGTGAACAAAATAAATGGTACAAATCTTCGTTTAAGCTCCACCTATCATCTCTGGAATAGATCTTTGATTTCTATCTCTCGGGGCTTTAAGTCTGTTTAATGGTCAGTAACGCGATCTAGATATCAGGAAAAGGAATGACTTACTTGTGAATTTTCACATCGTCATTAAACTCTATGCCAGCCCCCAGAGCTTTGGGTGTAATCAGGATGAATTGCCTACCGACGGCGCGTCGAGCAGCGCTGATCTAATCAAATCGTTAGTATATATCGAATCGTGAAGAGAGTTTGTGATAACTTACGATCATCTTGGTGCTCACGTCTCGATTGACATCATCCATGAAAACGTCGAATTCATCCAAACAACGAAGAGGGGCACCCATGGCCTCCCAAAGGGATAGAAGGAGGCAGATGGACGAGAATGACTTTTCTCCTCCAGAAAGAGTTTTGGTTTGTCGGCCTTTCTTGTTATTACTTGTCTCATCTGGTTCGACATGGACATCCAATAATCTAGCCTTGTGATCAATCACAAGTCTTCCCCTGAAAGCTCTTTCGCTCAGCAAATAGTTGAAGTTGATACGAGATCTGGCTGAAATGCTTCTCTGGAAATTGCGGAATTGCTTCATACGCATTGAGAAACTATACTTGAGTAGTCGTAGCGTTTCTTCCATGTGTTTGCGGCGTGACTTGAAACTTTTCAACATCTCTTTGGCCTGTACATAGTTATCTATGATTTCTTGCTCTGTGACACCAAGTCTCCTACTATACTGCTGTAATTGATCCGAGATGCTCTTGTACTTCGCCTCAAGGCTAGCTCTAGTTTCGTTTGGTGGTACTTGAATCCTAGCACATATTTGCGATGCCGATTCAATGTATTCTTCCACACGAGTTTCTGTCTCCGCGAGCTTAGACTCTGCTTCTCTCTTCATATCCTTGTATACATCAACTTGCGCAATAGCGGTATTCTTTTCACCGAGGCCCAGAGTACGTGCCTGTTCTTTAGCTTTGACCTTCTGATTTGCATCGGCAATCAGCTTCTCATGATTCTCAACACGTTTTTTAGCGGCTTTGTAGGCGTTCTTTTGTTCAAGAGCCTTTGTGTTGTACTCCGCCCTCGCAAGGGCAGTAGCGCCATAAGCGTTTTCGTAATGTGCTACGTGACCTTTGGCTTCCTCTAACTGTCTCTTGAGCGAGTCCAAAAATCCATCCTCTATGTTAAGGTTGCTAAGTTCATTTTCCAGTGACTCGACACGTTCTTCGGCCTTCTGTACACGAATCTTCAATTTACCTTGGACAACCTTGTGCTGTCGGATTGCCCTCTCTGCCTCTTGAGCACGATGTTGTAATTTGCGGCAATTGTTTGCAAGCCTCGACTCTTCCTCCTGAAATTGCTTCAAAGTTTCCTGTTGTAAGACGATACGGCGTTCACCATCAGTATTCATGCGGTGTGGAAACCCGTAGGGTCTGACGAACTCCTGTGCACTGTTTTGATAATTTGGGCCATTCAAGTACAATCGGATACCCCAGCCTCTTCTTTGTGGATTGGGAGCGTAGCAATGTCTAACATGCGCTGGTTTAGACCTAGGTTCCATGATCCGTGCTGCTTCCTTTAGATCATCGACCAATAACACTTGCTCAATCGCTTGGTTTATGATCAGTGTGTTTCTCACCATCTCATTGTCGATATCCAACATCCTCAAGATGGTCATGAAGCGTTGATCGGGTTCGTTGTTTGAGGTGTCAATGGGCTGGGGATTCGTAATGTAGATTTGAGTCCGGGGTATGCCCATTTCAGATACCAGCTTCTGTAATCTGACCTGATCCGCTTTGTTGGTAACTACAAAACCATTCAAAGCATTGCCAAAAGTCACCTCGAGAATATCAGACCACTTGGGATCGCAAAGTTTCACATGGAGACCAATAGGACCGACAGGCTTATGAGTAAATCCTCGATCTTGCTGTATCCTTCGGAGCAGCTCTGGCACTTTGCGGTCAAAGCCACGCATCGGATCTGGGCGTTCGTTTTGCATTTCTCTCAGTCTGTTTCTACAGTTCTCCACTTCCTTTGTCTTCGCAGCCCAAGGACCTTGCTCTTTTTCAAGTGCACTCCTAGAAAGCTGACTATGCTCTGTCAATCTTTGTAGCTCTTCGTTGCTTCTCTCTAATTCGGCTCTAGCTTGCACAGTTTCAGTCTTGGCTGATTCAATTTCTGCGAATTTTCGGTTGAGAGAACCGCCATTGGCATCCTCTATGCGCTGCTGCTCGGCATCAATTTCTACTTGTATGCTATGAGCTTTTGTGTTCGCTTGTTTGAGCTCTGCTTGGCTATCCTTGTGTTCCTGGTGAAGCCTTTTAATCTCCGAATCTGCCTCCTCAGCCCTTGACTTGGCTTCTTGCTCTTCTTCTTTCATTGGAACAAGCTCATCTCCAAGCGTTTTCACCTTTTCAAGAGCTCGTTCTACTGAGGAATGCAGTGCCTGATAAGCTCGGTCTTTCTCCTCCACAATCATTTCCTTTTCCTCAATTTTTCGCTGTGTGTCCAGGACTGTCCTTTTGCGCTCCTCCAGCTCACTCTCTTGCTCGTCAACCTGGCACCATGTCAGTTGATTTCTAAGAAGTCTTTTCTCCACTCTCATATCCTGATGCTGATCATAAATCTTCTTCTTCGCCTTCGCATCCTCGTCTCGCTTTTCCAACGCCTTAAGGTCATCGATGCTGTCTTCAAGAATAGCTTCGATCTGATCACAGCTTTCGGAAACAAGCTTGTAATCATTGTCCAGTTGTTCCAGTTGTGTACCTTTCCTGAAAAATTCGAACTTCTGCGATGGTGTGGAGTTTGTGATGAAACTTTTTGCCTCGTCCTGAGTGAGAATATTCATTGGGTTATCGACTTGAAGCTGGAAATACTCTACGATATCGTCCATATCACCTTTCTTGGTAGAAATAACGGTACCGGCTGCGTTCTTCACTTTATAGCTGCTACCACCCGTCCTTGAGAAATGCCGTTCGACAGTGATCGACTTTCCGTATATATCCGGCTGATAGGCGTCTGGGCCCTGATTTTTTAATTTGACAACAAGTATTCCTCGATCAGTTCCCGTTTTAATCAAGCTTTTCATACTACTTCCACGATTCGTAGCACTAGGCTTTCCTCCCAAACATAGTGTGATGCCAGTCAAAACTGCACTCTTTCCAGCCCCGTTTTCCCCAACAACGAAATTGATGAGTGGACCTAACATAACTTTGAGGTTCTCGTGGTTCATGAAGTTCATGCATTGGATTTCTTCTATGATAGAATTATCGGCAGCGTGGTTGTCGCCAATCATTTGATTTTTGGCAAGGAATTGCTGCGTAGCAATGCGATCATCATCATCGGCGTGTTCCAAATGTTTGAATCCAGCATCGCGAAGCATTTCATACTGAGTTCCATGAGGGTGGGCCATTTCTTCATCATCGTCATCCTCGTTCGCGTCATCGTTATTGTTACCATCATCGCTGCTATCTTCAGAAGAGGAAGAAGAGCTATCTGCGGGGCGTTGTAAAGGTCTCGAGGAGGATTGGCCATTTGAGATTTTGGCGCGTTTTCGTTGCTAGAATAAAGCATTAGCATCTATTGCATGGAAGAATGTTTTGCAGGCATGGTTGAAGGTAGAGAATATCCGCCAATGGTCAAAAGCGCGAAATACTAGTGGTAAGTATGCGAAAGTAAATAACTGACACTATCACGACGTAGTTCTGAGCTTGCGCTCTCAGTTGCAATAACATCCCCGTCTTCGTGTCTAACACGTTTTAGGGGAGCCATATTGCTGTTCGATTACACCGACGAAAATTCGGGATCAAATCGCGAATAAAATGAGTTGGTCGTTTGATGGTGACGCGACGAAGATTGCGGAGGACAGACGCGCGAGGGCACCTGATCAGCCACAATCGCCGTAGTGAATTGCCTAGTAAGCTTGCTTAAGCTTATATCTCGAACTACCCGTTGAATGATAATTGACAGAACATTGATATCAATTATGTACAGCGTACAAATTCTATTTATTCTTTCATCCAAACTATGGATGCCTACTAGCTACTTATTAATGCTTTGAAGTTGTTCTAATATACCCAGCTACCGGCAAACAAAGGCTTCCAGGTTGTTAGTTCCCCAACTTGGTGTATGGAGCAAGGTTAAAAAGGTACTAGCTTTCTTCACAGTAACTTATTCCGTTTTATAAAAATCATAGTTTTTCAATAATCACAGGTGTACCAATCATTGCTATGGTAAATGTTTATTCATCCACCGCATCAATTCAAAGCCTCTATTTCTAGGCTGTTCTATCTATGTATCTTTTGTCGACGAATGGGCTCACAAAAGCTTTTTGAAAACGAACGCCTTCTAAAATGCATCGCAGGCTAAGCTTCAATGATGCTACATGTGATCAAGACGTTGAATCTGCCGCAGCTTTCAATGCCATTGCAAATGTGTCTTTCAAATCACTGGCATCTTCAAGACCGACACTAATACGAATGAGTTCCGCAGGTACTCCAAATTGCGCCGCCCAATCCAGTTCCAGGTAATGGGCTAGGATTACATAGGGTGAAGTCAATGTGAAGTTAGTTCCCAGACTTGGACCTTTTGCAGTTTCGATCTTATCATAAAATGCAACTGCTTGAGGCTTTTCCTTGAATGTGAATGAAAGAAGTCCACCATAACCTCCATTCGGTGTACGAAAGTCATCGTAGAAAGTTCTAGACGCGTTGTATTTAGGGTAGTAAATCGACTTTACCAAGGGATGGGATCGAAGGATATCGCAGATGACCTCAGCATTGTCGTTGATTTTTTCAATTCGAGATACAAAGTGTCGGCTATTCCGTTCCATGAACATAACATCTTCGGCCCAGTAGTTATCTTCGTACTCTGTTCTAGCTACGGCTTTCAAGGATTGATAATATTTCCCACTAGTATTGAAGATGGCACTTCCGCCCATGACGTTGCATTCTCCTGAGAATATTTTCGTAAGACTGCTTACGACTATGTCCGCATATGGTAGAACATGAACATTGATAAAATTTCCAATAGTCTCATCAATCACCACAGCGAAGTCGTATTTGTCGGCTAGAGCCCGGATTCGTTTTAGATCCGGACAATTCAGCATCGGGTTCCCCGGAAATTCACAGAATAGTGCGAGGTATTTTTCTCCTGCTTTCAATCTTCTTTCCAAATCATCTAAATCTTCGGAGGAACCGTTGCCGTAAAAGGTGCAACCAGGACCAAACTTTTCTAGAATTTTAAGAGTATCGACGTAAGGGAAGCCGAAAGATATGCTTTTTAAAGAGCCCCTGGTTTTTAACAACATCTGGTGGGCATTGAAAATCGAGTTCATGCCGCAAGGATAAAGGTAAACATCATCCTCTGAAAGCTCAGCGACTCCACGCATATTGGAGGTCATGTCTGTGCTCGGGGTCTCGGACAAATCAACTTCACCAACCAAAGAGCCTGTAATCCGACGGCGAATTGCAGATCTTGCGTTGTCCACAAAGGAAACATCCAGATTTCGGCCAAAGCGTTCCTCTAGAAACTGCGAACTTTCCCTAGCCTCGGAGTTTATCGAGGAGATAGGGGAGTTATGGCCCTCGCTGGCTTTCGAGCCGTTTTGACTTCTAGGAGTCTTGTCTATGGAACCTTTCTGGTATCTCCTAGGACCTTTGCACAACTTGTCACCATTCTGAGGGCTTTTTGGGTTTGTCTTTTTCACTAGTAATCCTTCTTGGAACAGAGTGTGGCAAAATTCAGCCCTTCTGCTTGAGACACCATCTCCAGAATGCTGCCAGTATTGCTTCGCGACCGGGAACAACTCTTTGGCAAACAAAACAGCAGAAATCGAAGGGGAAATCTTGGTGAGGACTTCCGATGATGCTTGATTACGCTCAAGGACCAAGTCGATGACGGTGAGTTGATTTAGAGATATGGACTTATCTCTCGAAAGCATAAACGTTACACAACTCCTAGCAGTCTTGGCCGACGGAAAGAGCATTGCCTGTTCATTTTGACTGCCAAATGCTTTAACAATGTCATCGGCGAATGCAACAATAAGTTTGTGAATGAAGAATCTGAGTCACGAGATGGACGTCAGTCAGGCCAAAGTAATTAAAGAGAGTCGATGAGCTTAAAATAAACTGACCGAGGATATCCAGTGGTCATTTTGCCCACAACCCTTTGGTCACCCTCTTCGTAACCAACGTTGTCTTTCCATGTTGGCAATGAAACACTCGTGGCCTAAGAAAGTGTTAGATAAATAAATTATATCAACTGAGTCATAACAAAGAGTCGTTCGCTCTTTTACCCAGCTGCGATCAAATTCGAGGCACTTACATGTGGTGTCAAGGCAGGTACGGACTCTCCAAGTTCGATGACGGACATTTTGAGTTTTAATCCAGAGAAAATTTGGGTATGGTGAAATATATCATTATAAGTACAGGAAGCCCGCTTTGTAAATTTATTACTTTTTAAGAATCCCCATTTGTAATAATTGTGCAATCCAAAATGTCTTATCCGCTATCGGCGTCCAGGATCATGGGAGTCTAAAAATTAAGCTTAAATATAGCGTATGAAAGGCTAAGACATTTCGCAACTTTTTTTGAAAAATATAATTTTTTGGAGAGAAGGCTGATAAGATTCGCTCAACAACAATAATTACCAGAATGGCTCCTCTCACAACAAAACGACGCAAGTTGGAACATACAAGTGACGATGAGGCGCCTCAATCCCAAAAACCACAGATAAACAACCGCGAAACTAAGGATGCTTCGGCAGATGAAGAGAGTTCATCAGACGATGGAGATGCGATTCAATCGAAACCGAAACATCCACCAGCAAAACGACGACATGATGACCAAGATAGCGCGTTATATGCCGGCGGTCTTTATAAGTCAAGTATGTTTAAACTTCAAATAGACGAGCTGTTGAATGAAGTGCGACCAAACTACGAGAAGCGCGCTGCTGGAATAAAATCCGCATTACACCAGCTTAAGAATGTAATTGAAGGCATTGAAGATCGGGAACCCCTCCCTGTGAGCCCTGCCTTGAACTTTTGGCCTATGTATGCCAGTCGCTGATACATAATCTATAGATACCTGATGCCATCAAGCTGTTCTCCAAAACTCACAAAATTGCCATTCCCTTTCCTGATCCTAAACCCGATAATAATGCAGCCTATAAACTTATATATTCGAAGCCATCCGGAATCAACGTTGTCGGGAGTTATGCATTGGGAACTATGGTGAAGTCCGAAAGACCTTTGTGTGTCGACATGATTGTGAACATGCCCAAGTCAGTCTTCCAAGAGAAAGACTACCTTAATTATAGGTATTTTTATAAGAGGGCGTACTACTTGGCAACAATAGCAGCTGGACTTCATACTGCAATGCCGGATTTATCTTTAGAATATGAATTTTTGAACGGAAACAGCCTACATCCTATTTTAGTAGCTCGATGGAAAGCCAACAAAAAAATCGATACAAGTTCTCGATTTGAGGTTCATATCATACCCGCTGCTCCTCGAGGTTTCTTTGCCGAAGCCAAGTTGCTCCCTACGAAGAACTCCATCCGCCCTAAGGATGGAGCTGGTAATGACGTTGCTGCCGCTGAACCCTCACCATTCTACAATTCATCGTTGAGCGCGGATTGTAACTTTGAATCGTATCTCCAGCTCCTGCATAATGCATCCAAGACATCTGAAGGTTTCAAAGATGCGTGTCTGCTTGGCAGAATTTGGCTTCGACAGAGGGGTTTTGGCAGTGCTATATCTCAGGGAGGGATCGGACATTTCGAGTGGGCAGCTCTGACAGCTCTTTTGTTGAAGGGAGGTGGCCCAAGAGGACATAGTCTTTTATCTCCCGGATATAGCAGTTACCAAATGTTTAAGGCTGTGGTACAGTATTTATCGAATACCGATCTAGCCAAAAAGCCGATGCTTTACGAGGCATCAGATTTCCAGGCTGCAAAATCTGACGTGCCAATGTTCTATGATGGCCCACGAGGTGTCAACATTCTATACCGAATGACTCCATTTTCTTACGAATTACTACGTGATGAAGCAAAAACTTCATTAACGATGCTCAATGACTCTGCTTTCGACCAATTCGAAGCGACTTTCATCACAAAGGCCGATCAGATTCTGCAGAAGTACGACTGCGTCATAAACATTCCTGTACCTGTCGAAAAAGATGGCTTGTTTAGTTGTGATCATAAGATTCATGCTACTACCTTCGCCAATCGCGTGTTTGCTATCTTAAAGGAGGGCTTGACCGATAGGGTCAAACTGTTGGATATTAGAGGTATCGAAACAAGCCCTTGGCCAATAAAAAACTTGGGGGCCTCGACAAATAATGACCAAACTTTGAATCTTGCTGTTCTCTTTGACCCGGCGAATATCAGTCGTTTAGTTGACCATGGTCCGCCAGCGGAAGATAAGAAAAAGGCAGCTAAATTCCAGAAGTTTTGGGGTGAAAAGGCCGAGCTACGACGTTTCAAAGATGGAAGTATCCTTGAGAGTTTAGTATGGTCACCAGGCTCAAGTTATTCTATTTTCGAGGAAATCGTCACTTATCTTACGAAGCGACACTTTGGTGCTGAGCTGAGCAAAAAGTTAAGCTTCATTGGTGAAGGTTTTGAGAAAATACTGTCTTCATACGGGAGTAGCGGTAAAGCCTTCGAGGTCCTCAGACAGGCGTACGATTCTTTCGAAAAAGATATCAGGGATATGGAGAGTTTACCGTTACAACTAAGACAACTTTCTGCAGTGGATCCTCAACTGCGATCTTCGTCGATTGGACTTCCATTATTTGCACCGAGACAGCCTCTCCATACTCCAGCAGGTGTGCTGATTCAATTCGAGGGATCTGGTAGATGGCCAGATGATGTTGTTGCCATTCAAAGGACTAAAATCGCCTTCCTCCTCAAGATTGGCGAGCTATTGGCTGAGTCCAATGACAGCATAACAACAAGACTCGGCATAGAGAATGAGGATCAACCACTCCAAAACTGTGCTTTTTTGGATGTATTCTATCCATCAGGTGCCACATTTCGTCTTCGAATTCACAATGAACGAGAACAAACACTTCTCGAGCGTCAGGTTAAGGATAAGTCCAGTGATAATCGATCACGAGAAGATGCAGTTTCGGCACTTTCTATCTATAAAAGCTTCAATGTTCAGCTCCCATTACACACGCAGTCGATATCAACTCATTGTACTCGATTCCCTCTCCTGTCACCAACAATTCGTCTTGTTAAAAAGTGGTTCGATCGTCACATGCTTTCTAGCCATATCAGCGACGAGCTCATCGAGCTTTTGGCAGTTCGAGTCTTCTTACAACCTTATCCCTGGAAGGCACCATCGAGTGCTATGTCTGGATTTTTGCGAACCTTACTTTTTATTTCGAAGTGGGATTGGCGATCAACCCCTCTTATCGTAGACTTCAACGGTACGATGACAGACAAAGATGTTTCCACCATAAATACAAGGCTTGAGGCATGGCGGAAAATTGATCCAGGCATGAATCGCACGGTTTTATTTGCAGCGTCAAATCACGACACCACTGGGACCGCTTTCACTGACAATGGCCCCTCAAAAATGGTAGCCGCACGAATGACGGCTCTTGCGCGATCAGCTTGTAATGCCGTCAAGGACCAAAGCTTGGATTTGGATACCAGATCACTATTTGCTTCGTCCACTAATGACTATAACTTTGTCATTCATCTAAACCCTAAGGCTACTGGTATTTCGAAGGCTAAGGATTCACATCGTTTCAAGAACCTTGAAGTGCAGTCCGAATTGAGCATTGACAAAGTCGACTATCGACCCCTTCAAATGTTCAGCGAAGAACTAGAGAATCTATACAATGGAAGTATCGTCTTCTTCCGTGGTGCAACAGATATGACACGCATTGGAGGGCTATGGAATCCGCAGACGGCAGTTCCAAGAGCGTTTAAGGTAAACTTGGCATATGCGGCCAAGCCTCTGGAAGAAAAAGGTGATGAGGAGGAAGAGGCAAAAAATGTCGAAATCAATAAATCTGCGATGTTGGCGGAGATTGCTCGTTTGGGAGGTGACATGGTCTCGAGGATAGAAATTCATTAAGGGAAGACGCTTTATATATTATTAGGCAGTGCAACGTTAAAAGACACAAAATCTTAGATGATACCCATGTATTGAATAATATCCTATTGTAAGAGAGTACAATGTCTTCGACTGTTATTCACAATATGGTTGAACATCGATATCCAATCTATCAGTTTATTCTGGTGCATACATCACGATGGAGCGAAATATCTTGGGCGCGCTCGGGAAATCTGAGTAAAATTCCAAAATTTCTCCATGATATCGATGAGATTGTAGCTCAAGCAAGCTTCAGCTCTAATGCAGGAAGCTGTAGTCACCGATGTAAAAAGGGGATGAAAAATTATGACAATGTAAATGAACTCACAAATGAGAAACATTTCCAAAGCTCACCGGGGATAGTGAAAATATGTAGTCATCGAGAGCTCACCGGGAGCTGATGTGTGGCCCGAGCATTTACTAGTGCTCCAGACCTTCAGCCTTACACTCACTCGCTTAAAAAAAAAAGTTCGGTGGGGGGTAAAAAAGTTATCGCGGGGCAACATTTCCGATGGAAGATATTTATATATAATCAATCAACCAGCACTAAATCCATTTGCACTCTCACTGCCTACTTCGGAGACTTTCTACTTTGTATATTCCTATTGTACTCTTTGGAAATTCTGCTACAATGGCTCCTTATGATAGTGATTCATCCGGAGGTGAAGAAGAAGATTACACAGAAACAAATGTTCTTCTTGGATATGCTGGAAAGGAACCTCAAGACGACACAATCAGTTATTTAGGAGGGGAGCCTGTAAGTAGTCTCTGCAATTCTCTTCGCAAACCCCGAAAGAACACTTTCCTCACAGTAAACATTGCAAATACAACTAACACTCACCTTCAAGACGTGGATCGACCCTACCACTCCTCCATCCGCATCCCTCGCAAAATGCAAAGTCTGCAATGACCTCATGGTCCTCATCCTCCAACTCAATGCCGATTCCCCTTCTCACTTTCCAGACCATGAACGTCGTCTTTATATTCTTACCTGTCGCCGCAAAACATGTCGGAGGAAGGAAGGAAGTATTCGCGTATTGCGCGGTACGCGAATTGCCGAATCTGCAAAGCAAGCCCAAAGCAAAAGGGATTGAAAAAGAGAAAGCAAAGCCAGAACCTACAAAACAAGCAGTTAATCTAGGAGAGAGTCTATTTGGGGCCAAACCATCGACATCGGGAAATCCATTTGCGACTGGCTCGAATTCTTCCTCTACAGGAACGGGAGGAAATACCTTCTCGAATCCCTTTGCAGCAGCCGGTCTATCGACTTCTGAACTCGCTGCCAAACCCCCTCAAGACCCCTCTTCATCCCCCGAACCCACATCCACAGAAACTCCGAAAGATACCCTCCCAAAAACCTTCGCATCGGCCCTCTCTCTCAACAACCCACAATCCCCTGCAACTCCAACCACTCCACCCCACGAACCCTGGCCTACAAGCAATCTCCCATCCCCATACCCTCTCTACTACCTCGTAGATGCCGACTACGAAACCCTCGATAAAGAACCCCTACCTCCACCCCCGCAAGCCACAATAGTCGACGACACCCCAGACTCCTCATCGGGCGGAAAAGAAGACAAAGAGGTCTTCGAATCAACACACGATACCACCTTCCAAAAATTCGCCGATCGTCTCTCCCAAAATCCCGAACAAGTAATCCGTTATGAATTACGCGGTTCTCCATTACTCTACTCCAAAACCGATTCTGTAGGAAAGATCTTCGCAGATGCTGCAAAGGGGAATGAGAAGGTTAAAGTTAGTAGTGGAAGCGGGAGCGGGAAAATCCCCCGTTGTGCGAATTGTGGAGCGGGAAGAGTATTCGAGGTACAAGTCACTCCGCATGCGATTATGGAGTTGGAGAGGGAAGAAAAGGGTCTCGATGGGATGGATTGGGGGACGGTGATTGTGGGCGTCTGCGAGAGGGATTGTGTGCCTACATGGGTGGAAAGTGGGAAGACGGGGTATGTGGAGGAATGGGCGGGAGTGCAGTGGGAAGAGTTGGGCGGGAAGAAGTAAGAGATGAGTTGAGATTGTGTAGGGGTCTCTATATGTGACCGTCACATATAGATAGTCACTTATTGCGGATACCACATGAGAAATGAAGCATAATTAGGGCTTTGACTTTTTTTTTTTTTCATTCGACTGCTCGCAAAAGATTTCGCATGCATTTTACAAGTGAACCAAGATTTCACAACGCTGCTACTATCTCTGTGATGTTTAGAAGCCAGCCACTCATCTCGAGATCGTCGTCATCGAGCGAGATGCAAAACAGATAAAGAGTATGCATCTTTTCCCGTTCATCAAGGACACCGTGATATAACGCCAACCTCCAACCCATTATCCCTTTGCATACAAGCATACCTCATAATACCGTACCGCGCACACCTAAGCAGGTTGTTCATAAGCTCTCCTAATTACCCTTGAGAATTGCTCCATCTTGACATTTTCCCGGACCACGGTTCCCTTGGCCTCATTCTCTTTATTTAATGGCACAATGACACTGCCATTTTCTATAGTCCATCCACAAACCTCCTTGATGAATTTCTCAAAGGCTTCACCATTCATTCCAAGCCAATTCTCCAGCTCGGAACTGGGGATCTCGCGCACGGATTGAGAAATGGTTGAGGCGATGCGGATGCGGATCAGTTCCTCAAAACCGCTTACGTCGGCAATGAGATCGGCGTATAAATCGTCCGAGTCGAGAGTCGACCAGAATTGACTGTAGTTTGCAGAGGAGAGGAGGGTGTTGAGGACGGCGAGTTTTTGTACGGCTTCGGAGAGGGGAGCATCGCCTGCGGCCGGGAGTGCAGAGGAGGAAGAGATAGGTGTGAGGATATGGGGTGGGAGGAGATGAAGAGCGAGGCTGAAGTCTGGGGAGGGGAAGACGGTAAGGGATTTGACGAGGATGTTCGTTATGGTTTCGTCTTTGGTGAGGTGGGGGTTGAATTGATAACTGTGGTTTTGCGTTGATACATTAGTTATATGTTTCAACCGAAATAATTGGTAACAGATTGAAAATTGACATGTATCTTGTCTTTCAGATAGAGCTAATAATAAACTTCATGAAATGGAGGGATTCATTCTCCAAAGTTTCAGGTAATAGGGAACGTTAAACGTTCATTCATCATATAGACATAATTCTTCTCTTTCTCTCACACACATGGGGACAGTTATTGAGATTATGAGTCGAGTCGAGAAAGAGCACTGAGCTTCTACTCTTTCCCCTTCACTTTCCCACCCCACAAAAAAATGTAGCAAAGAAGTAAACATAACAAAATAAAAAATCCCAACTCACAGTTTCAAAAGCGCTAAATTGGCATAACAATCGTAAGTCTTCTCCTCACACTGCAGCGTCACGTATTCTTGAAAGATGTTGGTTGTTTCGGGATTGTAACGGTCGAGTCCGTTGAGGATAGCATCGATATGTTCAGGCCTCTCTGGCGCATAATCAAACGGGACACCCATCTTGATTGTATTGTGTGCGGAGGAGGAAAAAAAAGGTAGGGGCGGGATGTTGGTGGAGAGACGATGAGGTGGGAGAAAAATTGGCTGGTTCGTCCAAAGAGAGAAGAGGAAAGTTGAAAGAAATTTGAGGTTTTGGGATTGCTGTTGCTTGTTAGGGCTGCTGTGTGAATTTTTTGGCGACGCTAGTGGGGTATTGGTGCCTCAGGTTGAATGAAATGATTGAGAACTCTCGGATTCCCGTCTCGTCTCCCTGATCGATCAGACTTCAATCGTCTATTATATATTTTTAAAAGCAATCAGATAATAAAAGGATCAATTTCTTACAACGATATCGAAAACTTTTTATACACTACTCCAGCTAGAACTGCTGAAGCAGATCTATCTACATAAAACAAGATATCCAAAATATACATAAGATCTCCATGCAACTATATATAGGTAGGTAACTACAAATAAATAATATCGTATATGGTAGTCTTTTCTTCATGATCCGTAAGCGGATGGTGGCGAATTTCTTTCCCTTCTCTTCCCCTCATGCAGCCGAGAAAGGAACCACCCTCATACTGAGATACATTTCTGCTATTGTACAAACGCTCAAGTCCTTTTTCCCGTCCTTCTATCTTACATACCCAAACATAAAACACGACTGACATATCCTATGTCCGCTATATCGCTCACAATTTCAGACGCAAATTAACGCCAGTTCCAGTCCATGCTAAACGAATGGTACGTGGACCCCCAATGGTATATTTTGCTTACACTCCCAAGGTCCATCCAATTAAAGAAAGTCATATTCATCCTCATCTCTTTCATCATCGAGCTTTGCCAACCCCTCCCTTACTACTGGTAGCACTCACCAGACTAACATTATCCACGTTTCTCCTTGCATCCCATTGTTGATTCATGTTTCCGTTCATGTTATAGAACCCTTGGTCAGCAAAACTGCTCGGTCCACTGCCTACATCTGGCCCTGGATCTCCCCACTCACCCATCGACGTTCTGCTGCTGTACCTGCTCTCGTAAGTACCTTGACTTGGTACTCTCGTGCTATTGGTCATGACTCTCTGAATTGGCATTACTGGTGCCTGGCCCGGTTTAGAATCGGGCATCAATAATGGATCAGGATACAGATCGGAACCACGTTCAAGTAACGCAGGGCTATTTGCCTTAGGAACGCTGTTTGCCAATACCGGTAGCCATAGCTCTGGACGCTCAAGGTCAAAAGGGTCAGATCGTCCAGCCATTCTCCGTGTATTATTTATGTTAGAGGCTGTAGAGTATAGCGTATCGCGGAAGCTCTCCGTGCTGGGTGCCATACTTGATGGATATCGTGATACGTTACTGATGCTTGGAGTTCTATATGCTGCTGGTCCATACACACTACTTGGCGCGTTCTTATGACCTCGAGTAGTACTGTCCAATGACTCGCCGCGAGAACGACGGACGTCACTGATATATGTATTGGTTCTCGGGATAGCAGGATCGGGCCGAGAAATAGAATCCCATGTATTGGGGTCCGCAAATGGATTAACATTCGAATTCGAGGCCGCCGTCCTTGGAACAGGGTCCGCAAATGGGTCTTGTGGAATGCCAAAATCTAATCCGAGACTACCGAGCATCTGTCCAGAACCCGAGTTGGAAGAAAGGGAGAGACGGCGACGCTCAGCTTTCATCAGCAGATTGCGATCATCCATGTCCATCAGATTCCCAAAGTCCTGGGGTCGGCTAAAATTCGTCTGTTTTTCGGACATCCCACGTGCCCCCGCAAAAGGGTCATTTTCTTCTCTCTGAGTTGTTCGGAATACACCTTTAATCTTGTTTGTGAAATCCTCGGCTCGATCTTTTGCAGCGTAGTGCAATAAATGCGCAGATACCAAGGAATTGTTTCTGCTATGGTAGGGAATTGGCGGTTCGAAGAACTGCGAGTTGCCTCTATCCAAATTCACAGTTGGCTTATTTCCTGGCTGGACATGAGACCTAAGAGTAGAACCTATTCCAGCTAAACCTGCACTAAAAGTTGTGGCGGCACCACCTATTTGCGTCTTAAAATTGGTACCACGACCTGCTGATGCTACGGAATCATCATAAATATCGTAATACTGGCCCTGTGCCCTCTTATCAATATCATAAAATTGATCGCGACTTCCAGTGTTCAGAGGTCTGAGCAATGATTTTTTCTTTGACTTCCGTCTTCTCCTACAGAAAAATATGATCAATCCTATCAGTGCAAGAAATCCGATCCCGCCCAGAATCCCTCCAATCACTGGTGCGGTCATCAGATGACCAAATGAAGAAATCCCACTGGCGGCTGATGATTCAGCTGACGGTGATGATCGTGTCGATGATGCTGCGACACTCGCTGCAGAAGTTGCATGACCGACATTAGGATCGTGGGTAGCGGGATCATGTGTAGACGGGGCTGTAGTGCTGGGTTCACTTTGAGCGATCGCTAACGAGGTACTTGATGACTCAGTTGGGGTCGTGCCTTTAGATGCCGGAGTAGCAGAAGTTGTTGTACTGATACTTGTCAAAGTTGTTTGAGTTTGGGATACACTTGAGGTGGTAGCTATTGGGGGTGGTGGAGGAGGCGGGGGCGGTGCTGGAGGTAGTTCAGTTAGTTGGCTTGTTGTCGATTCAGCCCCGCTCGTAGCCGTACTCGACGATTGTATCAGTGGTCCTCCCACAGCAATAGCCGCCGGTGTACTCACCGGTGCGCTCGCCGGTGCACTCGGCGCTGCTGGGACTATAACAGCCGGTGTTGAGATGGACTCCGGAGATGGGATGGCACTTTCCAAAGTCGATGTTGATGCCGGTGCCGGTGCCGGTGTCGGTATCGGTTTAGTTGAAGTCGGTGTTGTTGTAGTCGGTATTGTTGAAGTTGAAGTAGAGGAGATAGATGTTAAAATAGATGTTGAAGTGGATGAAGAAGAGGTAGATGTAGAAATGGAAGAAACTGGAGTTGCAGAGGTAACTACTGATGATACTGCATTGGCCGACCTTGGGACAGCAGTACATCTTACTCCATTGATTGAGGTGATTGAAAATCCTGCCGGCAGGTTCGCACTCGTCGACATATTGTAATATAGTAAAAAGCGACACCGGTCGCTACAAATGAATGTAATGAATCAATCCTCAAGGAGATTATCTGAACATTGGCTCCTCGGCCCTTCAACTGATTGTCATAGTGGTACTATGTGTACGAGTATTGTCGATGACTAACGACGGTTTCAACAATAGAAATACAAATCCAAAAAAATGAGAACAAATTGAAAGAATCACGAAAACTCCGGGCACAGTGTGATAATGAGGATCGATCCCTTGTTCACAAGGAAAAAGGTAAAGCCTAATTAATGATCTTCCTTGATTACCTTGGGGAGGGGTGCATGATGTTGCAAATCTGATACACGAATTGTTTTACGCTCTGGCCTTCTGGGAGTACAATACCACTGGTGTCCTCGCTTCCTAATCGAATCGATCGAACATCTTCACGCTCAAAGCGGTAACAATACTCCGCAAGCATAATAGATTCAAGGCCTTGCCGCTGCGAATTGGGACAGGAAGATGAATGAGTGATGTAGGTGAAGGGATTATTTGAAAGGGCTTCCATTCAATCTAATTCATCAGGTTTCATTGGTTGTTTAAGGAAATCTTTAAATGATTGATACTATTGATATTTATGCCCCCCGTCTGGGGTGACAATAGGGTGGATATAGGATAGGTAGACTGACCAAGGTAGTGTAGTGTTCTTCAAGGGCTAGAAGTAAGGTTGTTTGATAGGTTAAGTTATCTGCTATGTGCAGGACTCAAGCCTTTAGCAGTCAAATAGTCCGGACTGCTCGAATTAGTCTTGCTCTTTTGGACAAATTACATTCATCACCCAAGGAAATTGGCATCTTTTTTGTCTTTTGTGGTGGTGTCATGATCATGAAGGGGTGATGATGGAAGGGTTACTTCCAGTAAGCGATACAGTTTTTTTGGGTTGCAGAACTGTCCAGTGCTCCGTACAGAACTGCGATCCAAACGATTTCATAGATCGTAGCGGTCCTTAAGAATTAATATTCCTATAAAGAGATACGTACATAAATATCCCCGCTTGGCGGTAAAGTTTTAATATATCTTTCTTTTTAATTTTATATTTTATTTGTTTTCTTCCGATAAGAGGGTAGAAACGAATCAATCAAGTATTCCGTTTCCCGGTGTTGGACAGTGAAAGGAGTTGAAACTTTGATGGGACCTAAGATTTGTTCTAGATATCTTTTCCGACTCCTTTTCCGGCAGGTCAAAATCTTCCTGATGCACCGTTTGAATGATGGTGTGTGCAAAATGCCTGCATGTACTATATTCTATCTCTCATGTGTGATTATGCCAAGCCCAAGGAGTTCGTTCTTTTACTGTACCTGCATACATTCACTCCCACAACCTTACACCATTATGAAGGATACGACTAGGAATCTCGAAGCCAGAAACATCGAACCCTTTCGCTTCACTTCATCTCAAGGGCTGGAACAGGTTGAACTGAGCGAAAGAGAATCGGAAGTTCAAATAGCCAGCCTCTTGCGTTTGGCTACCACGTTTTCCTTGTTTGAGCCTCAGCAAGATGTTTCCTCGAAGATTTAACCTTTGACCGATCCACCGATCTCTTCCATATTTTCACATTTCCTCATTTATACGCAACTCTTTCCCTCATCCCTGAAGGCTAAATTACTCCAACTTGTTTCTGTCATACCTGCTTATCCTTATTTGGTGGAACGAGTTTCCAGAACTCTGAGCTTGTAACTGCTATGACCCTGTACCATCCCCACTATTTATATCACAAAGGCCAGTATGTGGTAGGTACTGGGTGGGTACTTAGGCAGTATCAAATTGATTGAAGCACAGTAAGAGTACCAGGTAAAGCTTCTAGGAAACGAAATGAGTGGGAATACTCGCAGCTTCAAGTTGTGTGGTTCAAAGTCAGACTCATTTTGTGCCATATATGATGCAAACGTCTGCAAGTAGGTACGGGAAGTAGAGGGAGGAGCCACTTTCTCTCCACTTCACGCTTCACACGGCAATCTTCTAGTCCGCGTTATGATGCCACTCTAGCAGATACTGAACAACATTGTCCTATGGTTTAATGGAACACGGTTATCCTGATGTATGTATTTCCACAACTTATCGGATACCATGTGAAATAATTATGAGTGATCGGAATCGAATTTTAGGCTTATCTGGACAGCCATCAAATAGATAAGATCGGCAAGTAAGGTGAATGGCGGAGTTGCAATATCTTGTCACGGCTTTGGTACCGAAGTCTACTGCCCTCCACATTTAGGTAGTTAATGTGTGAATCATCCTGTAAGGAAATCTTGGAAGAGCTTGGATATGCTGTGGCAGGAGAACTGTAAAAGGGGGTTTTCTTAATTATCACTGCTGCATATAGCTATAGAAGCTTGTGGTGGGCTATCATTCAGTAAAAGTCCTGTAATCTGGCCCTGCCTAGCTAATAATAATAAGCAGGTAAGGGTTGAGTTCTTCGCGGTCCATCCTCCATGGCGCCATCTTAAACATCTTAAACAAGATGCATCGACCTCCCTAGTAGCTACCCCAAGCAATGGTATAGTTTTGTAGGATTGGTAGGATTAGTAAGATTACTCTTCCAGTACAATTGATACACCTCGACTTCCCACCTAGCCATAGTACTGTGTATATACTGGGTAACTCATACACGAATAATTCACTTTGATCTCAGTCCTTTCCACGCACCTTAATCTTGTCTTCCATCTAAATATTTCATTTCTCTTCCTGATTCGTCGCTGTACATATAACACCCCAACAGTTCTTCCTTCTTCACTTTATCCGGTCTGATATATCAATATCATTGGTTTGTCATTATCAACGCTGCCCACTTTAATCAGAAAGTTGATTGGAAGAGAGTCACAATTTGGACGACAATACGGAGTGTACGGAGTGTCTGCATTATTCACGCGACAACCACCAGAACCATCTACTTGTCTTTTGCCCCAGCTCGTTCCAAGCTGCTGATGGTACGATCGAGTTACATTCTCCGTAACAATCAACCAGCAACATTCACAGCAAAGACTCTTCACATCAGATGTACCTCAATTCGCAAACTTCAGCTCAACCTATCAATTCAACAATTCGGCTTTGGACATATCAATGAGATATTCTGGATAAACTACAATTCTTATAATCTCATCTCACGAGGAGGGGTCTGTCTGGTCTGCATTAATTTGTTAAAGGGCGAGCGGAAGCTAGAGCTTCAGATTACACTCAGTTATATCCCCAAGAGATTCATATAGACCCAGGATATAGAAGACCATCATCATGTTTGGTAATTTTGCGAGTTTTGGTAAGCATTGAAAAATCTCCTGCTGTTGTTTCCATATTTCTAGAAATGGTTCTTCCTCATACTTCAAGCTTTCCATTTTTGGTTCAAGGCACCAAGAGCTCCATGGATTCTGGATAGCAGTCCTTTCCGAGAAGAATCATCTATCAATCTGCTGCCTCAATCATGCAATTCTCCCCTTCGTGGTGAGGAAACAATTTTTCAATACTATCAACCATCATGATCTATATATCACCATTAGAGGCAAGGGGTTATGGCTACCTAGCCTGATATTTCATCTACGGGGTTATGGTGATTACTGCATATTTGAAGCCCTTGGACTTTCCCAACCACATTAATTTGGTTCAATAAGTATTCACATTTGTGATTATCTGATGAAAATAATGCAATTCCCTTTAGATATTTCCCTCTCAATTTTATCTCGTCTTTCTGTTTCATCTTACTCCCATCCCATTTGGCCATCTAGTCTAGGCATCTTATAAGTCCATACTGTATCCAAACTACCAATAACAGCGGAGAGGAATCAATTCATGTTCAAGACAGCTCAAAATTCTTACCGTTTTACAGCACCGCTACCTACCACACAAGATGGTAAGCCTCGAATCATCCCGCCACCAACACCTCTCACGTTTCCTTCAAGTACACCTCAGTCACCAGACTATATTCCTCCGGGAGATATACCTCTAGTCACGTTTCTTCAGACTATTCATCGACCAGCGGATATAAAGCTATCTCATTTCGAAAAGCTGGGTGTTCACATCATTCCAGATGCATCTCCTCAAGATTTCTTGCCTGATCCTTCGTTTCTTCCCCCTGTTCAAGAATGGACGAATGTCCCTGAGGAGCATTTGGAAGATGCGACTACAGCAAGTAAAAGACTTTTAAGTAATGGCAACCAAGGGCCTGGAGTAAAGAATTATCTAGATCGACGAAGAGAACTTTCGATTGATAACACGGCTGCTTTTCGCACTGTCCGTAGGCTTCCTCAACCCAAAGGCACATCGGCAGCTCGTTTAGGCAATGCATATGAATTCTACAAGAATCTGGAAGTGTTCTCAAGTTATTGGATTGATACTTCTCTTCCAAAAGAGACTTCCCCTCCTCCTACCGCCACCGAAAATGACGCCGAAAAACAAACCGAGGAAGAACCCAAGGAAGCTGAAGATAAGGTTCCAATTTATCAACAAACTCATGTTCGTACTGGCACTGGTTCCCAGCTTCCGCATGAATTCCGTCAGGGCATCACTACTGCTTTTATAAAACTTATCGCCTACGACTTCGGCTGTAACGTTTCTTTTCCACGTGTCGAGCCCCGTCTCCATATTCATTCACCTCCATCAAAATCCTCGACTCCTCCATCAAATTTCTCCGCCATGGGTGTCACAATGCTGTATCGTACCCCAACAGACCGTAACTCTGCCCGAGCAGGTTTCCTCGAAGGTCCGCTTGCAGCTCTCTCATGCCGCTCTGCCACATCCTTCACCACACCACTCGATTCTAATCTAGATCTCGCTCGTGAAATCATTACAATTTTACTCACGGCTCAACAACGTAATCGTGAAGGTCAAACTGAGAAATTATTTGGTGCGGAAAAATGGTGGACTACAGCTCCCCGGTGGGGAGGTGGGAAAGGTGGTCCCATTGGTAAAGAAATTGAAACCACTCAATCTAATTCTTCGCCTGCTCCTACATCATCACAAGACAAATCTTTTATGTCTGAAATTAAATCTAAAATTGGTGGTATAAATTCCCTCCCTTCTCTTCCATCTCTCCCATCTGCACCCTTTCCACAATCCATCACCTCAGAAAGACGTCCTCCACAAAAGAAGCCCCGTACGACACGTCTAGGCGGTCCATCCCAGTTATATGAAAATTACCGCAAGATGATGCCACCGGCTAGTACATGGGATAAAAAAGTAAGATATATGGCGATTGGAAAACCAGGTGGTGTACAAGGGAATTGGGATGAGATTTTCTTGGTAAGCTGTTTAAATCATCATGTTAGTTTTCTGAGGGGGAGAGTAGGGAAAGGAATCTTGGAAGTGTTAGATGGGGAAAAGGATGGGATGGATGGATTTGAGAGAACGACGGTTTGGAGGACGAAGTGGTATGATTTGTTTTTGGTGGATGATAGGGTGGAGGCGATGGGGGTGGTTTGGGGGATGATGGCTTGGATTATGAGGGGCGAGGGGGAGGGGGAGGGGGTAAATGGGAAGGTGGAGGGAGGACAGGGGGGAATGGATGTGGATGTGGATAGGTAGATTGATTGACGGGAATGGCTTGGTGAAAGTTGAAGTTGTGGATGCAGAATCTTTTGGTAGATGGTTGGATTGGTATTGGGAAGAATGGGAATGGGATTAAGAATGAGAATGAGAATGACATTGAGATTGAGGTTGAGATTGGGTTTTGGATGGTTTCTGTCTGTATACTCTGTTTGGAATGTTGATAGTGTCTGTGCCTGTGTCTGTGAAAGTAGATGAATATATTAAATTAAAATAGAATGGAAATTGAAATTGAAAACGAGCTGAGAAAGGTAGTATTGATATTGATTGTGACGGAAATCCCTGCTTTCCTCCCACCTTTATTATATAAGAAACCTCAGGTACATTAACCATGTCCACACATGATACGATTACTCGAGATTAGTATGCGATTTAGGTGACCTGAGGATCAGATCCGGACAAGTACTCGGTATCAATGGTTATCGGTAAAGTAAGATCATTGGAGGAATAAATATGACTTCTTTTTGCCTAGCTATTGCGGCTAGGCTATTCATTTGTGTATATATAGAGTAGCTATCCCCATCTACAGGTGCTCTTCACCTGTAGATTCTAAGTTAAATACAATTGCTGGTCTATAAACACCCTTTTGGTCACATTGATTATAAAATTTTTTTAATAATTATCGATTCTTGATAATTTTATTATTAATAAAAAGAATTTTTAATAATAATTAACTAAATGATTCAAAATATTTATCTTTATACTTTATTTTATTATTTATAGCTCTTAATTTATTGATTAATTAATTAATATCTATATTTTTATCATACTTTATTCTCGAATTGATATATATTTATATGTATATACACATATATAATAAACCTATTATACATGAATAAAACAATTCCTCTCCTGAATATATTAAAAAAGTTGTTAAAATTGAAGGTTCCCGGAATACTAACATGTAGGTTCTGTGAAATATGAGCCTTGCTATATCTCAAGCAGAGCTATTACTGTAACTGTCGCTAGGTTACGGTTAAGATTATGAATTATATCACATCACATCGTAATTCTCCCAGAACTTTGTATGATGTGCATGCGCGCATAGAAAACAGACGCATAAAAGCAGAATTAAAACTTAATCAGTGATTCGATTTGATTGAACAGAATCTTAACGAGTAAAATAGATAGATAGATAGATAGATATCTTAAAGAAAAAAAAGTAGGTGAAGTTACACCGATGGGTTATTGGGCTGGGAAATCTTCCTGTAGGGTATAATCTCGGAGTTAGTATCTATGATCGGTGGGGGTACTGTTACATTTAGTGTGAAAACGACGTTCGTTGGGACTTACACTTACTCGGACTTTTTCTCTGTTCACTTGTATTCAAGCACACGATTGTTTCTCGGGTATATCGGTTGATTATTTCTTGATTTTGATTTCCTATTTGTGGATAGTTTGTTTTCTATTTGTTGGGATATCTAATTAATGCTTTTGGCTTTTGTTGAATGTGATGATGAGGAATCCTTGATGCGCTGATGAATTGAGCTATACTAGTGCCTTCTTTTTTATGCCCCTGATCTGGTTTGTTGTTCATAGGTAGGCGTAGATATATTGCTTTGAATTTCTATGCTTGTGTAAACGATTTCAAATACCGTGAAACGTTCTCGGTCAAGTTGAAATTATTCGTGATACTACTTAGCATTGGGTACGGAATGATATGAAAACAAATCATTCGAGGAGTTGGAAACACGTTGAAGTGATAGGCTAGAAATTGAAGAATGAACTCAAGCTTCATTCCCCTGAGTAGCACCCATGATTGCTGACATCTGTTGATGTAATTGAAAGGTTCTTCCATTGCCAATACTTACATATTAGCCCCTTGATCATTACGTGCCGTGGATCCACATAACATCATAAATCTATCGATGATATGTGATTAAGATAAAGGGTAAAAGGCAGGCTGCAGGATGGCAAATTCGTTAACCTGTAGAATCTCAGAACGTCCTTCAGACTCCACTCAGTGAAACTCTACAGCAACATAGGGGCATCGGAGATAATCTCTGGAAATGTGTTCGGCGACCTGAGCTTGACCAAACAGTTTGGTACCCGCTGTCAAGATTGGAATTGTGGCAGCGAAATTCATACCCCCATGGGGTTGAAATATGATAGTATTTGGAACTATAGAACATGAATCGGTATTTTATGATAGAAGTTGCTTTTGAAAAGAACTAGATCCGAAAGTGGTGATTTATGATAGTATAAACAGGGATGATAGGTGCATGACTCAAATGCAATAGCGTCAAAATTTACAGTCAAAGAATCACTTGATATATTGATAAAGCAGAGGCTAAGTTCATACTTAAGTACAAGAACCTTGTCCTGCGCATCATCCACTTTTCTGCATACTCCATTAGTGGCGGCTCCAAACTCAGTTGGCTGGTAGAGTTAACTCGTAAGGCTGGAATTGCTGAGCAATCTTGCACGAAAATCCATGATTAAGAGCCACACTTCGATGTCACGTAGCAGTGGGCCTTACAAAGTGAGTTGGCGCCAAGATTATAGCTGGCACTCATTAGGTTCTCGCGCCGGTACATAGCCACATCCATCATGCTTACATGCTCGGTAGCAGATCTGGAGTCAAAATTGAAACGTGGGAAACAAGATTCTGACGGCAGATAATGCAGGCAAGGCTATTGATCCCTCGCTCTAGTTTCTGTGAAATGATGCATTTTCAGGAGTTAGGGATCTAGCGCGCGGGACGATCTGCTAACCACTAGTGACTTCTCAGATTGTCTGGCCCTCGATATCTCAAAGTCTTTCTGAAAGGGAAAGTATCTGCAGATTATTACCCGAATTGTATTGAATTCTGGGAAGGTAAGGAAGTATGGAGTAGACGCGGGTGGCATTACTATGAGGAAGGCAAAGCCTGCAAGCAATTCCTCCGGTTGTCTAGGAAATAGTTGGACAACTGAGCTGAGAAGTTCTCTAGAATGTATGTGATGAGGATCTGCTTGGTGAAGCGAAAGTACGTCGGCACCTGTCAATGCGTATACCATTTTTGTATGATGGATGTTGTTGTTCTACAAGAGGTTCAAACATCCTTTCCACTGCATCGTCCACTACATCGCTGCTTTTCGTAAGACCCTTTGGGTTACCCTTAGATTTCCCTAGAACCTCGGTGGACCTCGGTGCAAATGGGTCGAGAAAGATTTTGCATACGATAAAGCAGCAGGTTAAAGCCGACATAGTGTGGCTGACATTAGACGAGATATCTTGGCCAATAAACATGGATATATGCATGACCACGCCAGCCATAAAATTGCTATCTCGGACGCTCCGTCCGAACTTACCCACATGCAACGACATTAGCCACAACCACATTAACCACATTATTCGTTGAAAAGT